TTATACAAAATTTCATTAAAATAAAACCATTTAAACTGGGTGTTCGGATTTATATGTCCCTTAGTATAAATTGCACATTAATTAACAAGGTGATATGATTATAATTTCAACACGACGTTTTGTCTTTTATCCTCAATCATCAACTTTATTTTTTCTTATGGACGCCATGTTGGATTTTTACACATAGTTTTTGGTTATAATTTCAAAAATGTATGTCATACATCAACTCTCGTTACTGAAAATCAGAATTTCTCAAGTAAACCTTGAAGTCAACAGATAACCGTATGTTTCATATCTCCAGAAAAGCACTCCTTCTGAGTTTTTTATGAACTGGGCGATATCAATTTCGGATTTTAATGATGGGATGGATATAAAACTCCTAACGCTTAAAAAAGTAATCTTCCTATAATTGGCCATGAAGAACAAGATAATGCTAACTTTGTCATATTGTTTAAGAGCAGTAATGACAAACAGATTTTTAAACCGATGCCTACATATTTCATTTAAATAAAAAATCAGAATCGTAATCTACCTACTCAATTTAGCGATAAAATGAGTTTTCTGAGACTTTTCTAGGACTAAATTTCCATATCTTGCTTCCTTCATAAGTTTATATACAAAAATGTATTTTTTCATCAGAGAATCAGTTTCATCAGCGGAGCAAAAGTGACCGGTAAGTATTTATTCCCTGCTCGAGCATTTCATTGAAAATAATAGTGTCTCTATTCCTGACGTGCAATTTGTCTTTCGGTCTGAGCATAATACGGAGTTACAGACAGTTAGGCTTGTTGAGCAAGTAACCAGAAGATTCACCAGTAACGAAAGTACTGGCATCTCCCTTCTGGATGTCCCAAAGGCATTTGACAAGGTGTGGCACAAGAACCTTGTCTACAAATTTATCCGAAAGGGCTACTCCTTCTGGCTCCTAAAACTTTTGAAATCCTTCCTTGAAGATAGAAAATTTCAAATCAAAATTAATAACATTCGTCGGCAACACGGCCCATGAAATCCGGTGTCCCTGCGGGTTCGGTCCTTGGACCAATCTTTTCTTTACTTCTTTACTTGCCGCAGCTACTGTGACATCTATCTCTATGCTGATGCTGATGGCCGTGCTCTGATGGCCCAGTCTGGGAATCTGTACCAAAAAACGTAGTGGCGCCACATCTGAGGTTTCAATAAACGGAGCTCGGGTACCATGGGAATGTTCTGCTAAATATCTCGGTGTCACTCTTGACAAGGGGATGACCTGGCAGAAGCACACTGATGCGTGAAAACCCAAATTCCAAATCACATTTCGGCAACTCCACCCTATGCTAAACAAAGCTTGGCTAGACAAAATAGTTATTAGGCCAGCGATCACTTACGCAAGTGCGGCTTGGTGTTTTCTTGCCAAAGCGCATTTGCGTAGTCTGCAGGTTTGGCGGAATAGAAGAACCTTACGCCCCATGGTATGTCTCTAATGAGATCCTTCATAAAGACCTTGACATCGCTTATCCAAGGGACTAGATCAAAGAACAAGCGCCGCTACGTTATGGTCATGCGGAATCACATAGCAACCCTTTGTTGCGCGAGTCAGTAGACAACACAGTCGAGCAAGTTCGCAAGCACACAAGGTCGCGGTTCGCTCTGTGAACAAAATTAAATCATGCGACTTTAGGTCCAACCAAATCTATGTTTTTTCTTCAACAACCAATTTCTAAATTAATCTTAGGATATAGTGAAAATTCCTGAATCCTAGTTAGCAAGACCAAGTTACCCCTCAAACTAACACACGTCTTTCTTCTTTGCTCTCCCTCCTTCCTTCCCTTCTTTCTCCCTAACTTTGCCTGATATCTGGGCTACCAGACCTGACAGATCTACTGACTTACAATACTTTAACCAACAGCAAAGATCGTACTGACCGCTCTGACAGACAATGACGAATAGAAGGATCAGTAGGATCGAGGCAAGAAACAAAAAGAGTATGCTTAAGCTGTCACCCACCAACAAAAAAGCTCAGAACAACAACATACACAGTGGCGAAGCGTCCATGTAACCATTGTTACCATTAGTAACAGTTAAAAATCTTGAAAATGAATATTATATGACTAAGTGCTGTGGAATAATTTCATTTATATGTTTACCAACAGCAATATGTAATAGTACTTCAGTAAATAGCAAATTAGCCGCAAGAAAATAATGCGCCCTATACTGTCTAGATTTTGCGAACGCGATGAAGCTGACTCGCCTCGACTTGGTTGTCGGTTGTTACCATTTTCGTTTATGGATACACTTGATAGTCCGTCGGGGACCGTCGGAGCCAACTCGTGTCTGATCGCGGTCGCTAGAGTGCGTGGGCCGCTGCGACTATTATAAGGGCCTGTTACCACTTTTTGTTTTAGTTACTGACTTCTCACTTATAAGTAGCCGTTTTGGTTACCGGCTGTAGTGTGCGTGCAATTAAACGGATGAATGTCGCTACGTAATCGATCAACTACTTGAAAAGTCAAAAAAGGAGATCATTGAAAATGAAGACCCAACACCTATTTTAGATAATTTTAAAGAGGAATAAAAAATTAGTTCGATATTTTAAATTATATAGTGAAAACTCTTGGTTATGTGGCTGCAAGAAAAACAGATTGTATTGTTGGCCATGTCTTCTGTTTTCTACAGAAAAAAATGGGTGGACCAGCAGTTGAGTCAACGATTTAAATAGTCTTAGGGTTCTAAAGAGGAGACATGAAATTTCTCCGTTACATGTGAGATGTGTAGCCAATTTAATTCAGTTTGGCAAAACAAGAATCGAAAGTTGTCCTGACCAAACTTTTAGGCAGCCCTCTTATAGATACCGTATGTTTTTTGGCCAAACAGGAATTACCATTTCGGAGTCATTTTGAAGGGGATGACTCTGGCAATAGTGGAAATTACAGAGAATTGCCAAAAAAGATCAAAAATCTTCTGAACATCTAGAAACGTCAACTGTTTTTTCGGAAGGCTTGGATTAATCATAGCATAAGACGATGAGGTATATCAAGTACCCCAGACGCCCAGTGCAGCAATGTTTACCTTAATTTAAAAAAAGTTTAAACAAAATACCTAAAATTAGCAAAAACTTATATTTGGTAGGTTCAAAATAAAATTTTTTTAATAAGATCTTTCACATCTGGTATTGGTAACAGTTTAGGAAAAGTCACGCGTCGCCACTGTACATACACCCATACATATTATATTGCTTCAAAAACGGGTCATTTTCAAGAACGAAGACACTCGAGCCTGACTCGTAACCTTAATCCAGCAAAGGTAGGAACGATTCCCCGACTAAAGCAAAAGAACGACAGACGGACAGACGAATTCTGGGAAATAATTTCACAAATTGCAAGCGACTTCTTTAATTTACGTAAACTGGTCTCTATCACGACCGATCCCACTATCTCCGTCCTTGTCTAGCGTTCGCATGCCGCCATGCAGTGAAGTCCGTGATCAGTGCGTCGACGCAGGGTAGGCTAGTAGCCGAAAGTAATTATTATTCAATATACAACACGTCTTTTAATTGGTGGTTATCTCTACTGTACCATCGCTTGCTCTCTTTCTCTCTCTCGCACTAGAGGTGGACGTCTTTGTTCCGTGCAGGTACAGTCCGCGGAGCGAGTTTCGAAGTTCTTGCTCAACGGATGCACGGAGCATTTGATGTTCCGTAATTAATTATATTGTAACGTATAATTGGTGCAAGATGGTAGCCACTGTTGCCGGCTAAATACAAATAAAATGAATGGATGTGCTGACCATTATACCAACCAAAGAATTCGAATAGATCAGGAGGCAGGCCTTTATGTTTACATTGCATTGTTTGTCGTCAAAACTGCATACCTTTGGCTAAATCTTTTCTCTGGAAAGGATATTCAAGTGGCCAATCATACTAGGTGTATGTCGTTACCAAACAGGAATAAATTAAATAAGGCAAAGAAACGAAAATACGTATTTATCTATTTATTAACGGTACAGCATAGGAACAATTATACTTAATTTTGGAAAGCCAACAATACCTAAGATTTCTCGATCAAGCTTCAAAAATGAATACATGATATTGGGAATAGCATGCGCGTAGCCAAGAGGGGGGTTGAGGAGGTAATTAGCTCCCAGACCCAGACTGATGCTGATTCCAAGAAGCAATTGTTTATTGTGCAGTGGATTTTTGTTTTGCGTATTGGGTATTGTTAGTGAATTCTGAATTCTAGATAAATAAACTTCTTGATTAAAACTAAAAGTTTAAAATCGCTGCATAAATCTGGCAACTGTCAATTTTATTGTTATTTGTTGTATGATTTCACCCCTGTATGAGTATATGTGAATTCTTCAAGTGAAAACTATGCGGAGAATGGTGCCATCTATTCCTTCAGATTTGTACTATGCCCGTCGATGAAGTCGAGTTGGAGGAGTCAAGTTAGTGTTTTTCAGTTCTTTGTTCTCTTGCACCAGTGGTGGCGCTCGCACCGCCTTGTTACGCACAAATAATGGCGCCAAAAGCTGCAAAAGCATAACCTTACTTTGTAGCAGTCATCGACCACGCCAAATTAGTTTTTATACATATATGTTCGTGCGATATAAATAAGTAAATCATTTAAATGAACAGTGAATCATTCCAGATTCCAGGGCATACGTGCAATTATAGCAACTGTGATATACAATATTTATTTCATTTGTTATTTCTCCCGTGACGAAATCGACAGTGAAATGGCAGGTGGGTAGTATGGACCGAGATTTTTTCATATTTAAAAATAAAAAAGATCCAATCCAAAAAATCTAGTGCCAGACTCGATTGTGTTTTCCCAGTATGTTAGCTTCTTTTTATCCAATAAAGTGTTTTACAAGATGTACTTCTAAGAACTGTTTTATTTGCTTACTATTTCAATATACCAAAAATATAATAGTTGGAGAGAGAATAGTACTGCATTATTATTATACAGTACTGACTACGCCCCTGAGCTAAATCCTTATAGCAAAACATGTTGAGAAAATAATATAAAATAAAATTCAGTTATCTCTTGATAGGTTTCGTTTTTAACGACATTTTGTGATGAATGCGCCACCCCTCCCCCGCAGGAAGTAGTGCTGGCTACGCCCATGGGGGGATACCTTTGTGGTGAGTTTCATGGTAATTATGACTAAATATAAATGGATTTAAGAGCATTACGTCTATAAAGCTACAAGAAGTTGTTGTGGGTGCCAACGGAAGTAGAGCAAACGGAAGCAGAAAATGCAAATGCTGCAGGTCATGGCCGGAGTATGAAACAGTTGTACGAGCTAAAAAAGTTGGGGGCGTTTAAGGTCAAAAATGGAAAAAAATGCAACACATTGCAGCTTTCCGGCTGGTATAGAATAGAATAGGATTTATTAAGCTTTAAGCAATAATAAAATTTATTTACAAAAATATGTTAAATTTACAAAGAGGTCGTCACATCAAGCCAAAATAGTCTCTTTTGGAAAATTTAGCATTACAAGATATTTCTACATCAATAGGCAGATTGTACATTTTTATACCTTCAGCAAACATTGACTTTTCTAAACCTTTAAATCTAAATCTTTGTATATGGAATTTTTTTTGATCTAATGTCGTAACATTGCATTTCACATCTTTTCTTTAGAAACTGTTCAAGATAAGGTGGAGCCAAATTATTAATAATTTTGAACAAAAGAATTAAATTTGCCTCTTGAATAATTTGGTGTACGTTTAAAAAATGTAATGCCTTTAGCATATCCTGTATAGAAGTATACAATTCAACAAAATCCGCATACATTTATTTATTAGAATTTTTAACCTTTGCTTTTGCTCATTTGTGAATGTACCTGATCAAAAGTGATGCACAATAAGTAAAATGGGAAAAATTGTTGTATTCTAGACTACTGTTTTGCACCAGGGACTTAGATTCTCACAAATTCTACGAAAATACCCGATCTTTTTGCCTATTTCCGACTCATATAGTCAACATGTTTGTTGAAAGTTAATTGCTGATCTATTATGATACCTAAATATTTAAAACTACCTACAAAATCAAGTACCTCTCCCTCAATTTTCACTGGCGTATTTAAATCTACCAATTTCTTGCAATTATTTTTCGAATCTATGAACATACATTTCGTTTTTCTCACATTTAATTTTATCTTGTTTGTTTTTTACCACTTGTAACCGCTCAGATAAATAATCACCCATCCAGAAGAAGGTTGTACCCTTAATTCCATACATTTCACATTTTCTCAACAACATTTGTCTATCTGGCGTTAACGTATCCGTCAGAATTATGTGTCATTTGACATTTGATATGGGGGATTTTAAAATATTACTAGATAATCAGAGGAGGGTAATGCCCTTATGATAAATACGTCTGGGGGGGGCTCCACGTCTCCATAGATATAGATAGAGGTCTAGCCAGTGCTGGCGAAATGAAACCTTTTTTATTGAAATACCGGAAACGCACTCATTTTCCACAAATTTTTAAAGTAATTCAGATATTTCCTATTTCCAGATTTCTTTAACTAAAAAGTGCTGGACGGGTGACGTAGATTTGGGATGCCTACAATTATCTACGCCCATCGCTTATTCCGTTTTCCCTAATCGATGTTTGTGTTCAACAGGACAGGTAGATCACCCCTATTAACACATTACATCAATAAGGAAACCAAAGCTCGTCTGTATTTAATTCAATACTAAATTAAAATGTCAGGTGATATGAGGCTTCCAGTTCAGGGGTGAAGCAGAAAAATAATTACAATCCTATGAACAAGAATCGCAAAAGGAGTTTCAATGATGGTTGCAAAGGAGTTGTACAATTTATAATAAAGAATTTTTTTCATGATCAGATGCCCTCAGAAAAAACTATGTTGTGTACATCCGCGCAATGCAAAAATATAGTTTTTTCATAGATTGACACAAAATCCCATAATTCATCGCTGATCTTGTGAAGGACCTGACTTTTTTCCTCGTATGGATTTTGTTCAACCGATTTCGTCTTTTTCAATTCCAACACTGAGTCTAGCAAGGTTATTTTCCCGTCAAGACAAAACATGTCTGGACCACAAGATTGCCTAGTTTTTAAATTTCGTATCGAGACGGTCAGGGATAAACAAAGAAACTTGGTTAAGTTTCAAAGTATCGGCAACGTTGGATTCACAAGATGCTAACCAGAACCTCGCCAGCAAAAAACCGAAAGTATTCTCCAATCGTGCCTTTTTTGTCGTGTTGCCTAATTACGGGTTATATTAGCTTGTAATTAATATCATATGCCTTAATGGACAAAATTAGAGACGAAGAATACCTTGTAGATGGCGACGCATCGCAATGTCACGCCGGGCTTCCAGGTAAAGAGGAATTGTATATGGTTATCGTTCGACGGAAAAATGTCCACAATTATCGAGGCCGTGGAAAAATTTCAGAGGTTTTCTCTCCCGAGGTGGTTAGCATCGGCCATTTTCAGACAGGTATTCTTCTTCCAGTATCGCTACATCGACCGCGTTTTTCTTTTTTTAGATTCCATAACATCGGAGATCCTGTACGGCCGGATTTCGAAGAAAACGGAAATCTGAGATGCAACTCTCTAGTCTTCCTATACTTTGTCTTAGCTCATCAATTGAAGAACAACAATCTATTCCGGCTTTACCCTACGGGCACACGATGCCCGTTCCCAGCGCCTCGCCTTGATGGGGGAACGTCCAAATCCCCAAACATGAAACAAAATTTCATAAAGAAAGTCTGGTACCATCCCGTCCTCCTCCCTCTATGGCAAAGTAGGGCGTCTCAGCACGAGGCCCAGAGCTTCATGTCTGCCGAGGGATCCCTAGATAGCTTAAAACAAACATGAGCATAATGCTGTAGCTATAAGATCATATCGTCCCCTTAGAGCAGAACTATTACATGTCACAAAATACAAATTTTACACGGGAGACATTTTTTTATTTCTTTATAAATCTAATAATTATTGATTTGCCAAAGTAAGAATAAATAATTAATTTTTTTGTTACTTTTACATTACTATAATCCTATTTGGCAAAAGTTGCGTTATTTTAAAAAAAGTGGACATAGAATACCTTGATGACTTTATCTTATTCTAAGTACCAAGGTAGAATACTATATACATTTTTTATTGGGACATAGAATGGTTCTTCTTGGATGAAATAAAACAAAGGTTTTTATAATTTATTTTTTATTTTCTATTACAACTATAAGTTTGCAGAAAGCACATATGGTAATATCAAGGTAATTATGTAAGAAATAAAAAAACATTAAAAGTATGCTCAAGTGAACTTTTAAATATCATTGGCGCCAATATACTAATAATAATCAGTGCTACTTATACAAAACCCAAAAAATGTAACACTATGGATTTGGACTCTAAAACACTAGAGACCAAGCTAAAAAAAATATTATTCTTGAAGTACCTTATTCAGTTTAACCATTAAAAATTGTTATCATTATATCCATCTGGCTCTTGGATGTTTTCACCAAAAGGTAAGTTTAAAAAAAAGGGGTGATACGCAGGTAAAATAGCGTTTTTGCCGCAAAGGAACTTCAAATGATCATATTTTTTTTTAGTAAACGGTATTAGTTCCTTGTAAAGCGGCTGTAAATGAATTTCATTAATATTTACTTCAATGGATTTTCTTCCTCTTTTTAAAATACAAATTTTTTTAAATTCGTTTTCATCTTTATAACTGTTTTTATAAAAAATTATATTTGGCTCTTCTGGATCGGTTTTTGCAATTTTTATTTCACTCCAGTAAACTTTGTCGTTTGTGTCATTCTTATCCCAATTTATAGAAGTTACTTCAGTTAACTTCTTAAGGTCAAATATACTTTGCTGGCTCATTTCAACTACAACATATGGATTTTTTCTTTTTGATGTCCTGACGAGACTGAACCATTGATCTGGAGTGTATACTGGAATATTTCGAGCGACCTTCTCAATAACGCTGTGAACAGAATCACCTTCATTTTGTGTGTGGCCCCGCTCTAAGAAGGTGTGGCAAATTTTGATTGAATATTTTTGTGCCAGATAATTATAAAGAGAAAACAAAAATTTGTTCTTGTTCTGCCCTGGGCAGTTATCGGAAAAAAATGAAAATTCTTTGATTCCTTTTCGCACATGTTGTTCAATAAAAAGCGTAAGACCACTACCAATTTACGACGACCCTCTTTGCCTCCTTTGATGCCAAATTGAAAACTGTGAAATTGAATGTCGATAATTTTAATTTATAATAGGCGACGCCGACCTCTGTCTTGCTGTCTTGGGTACTGGCAATACTTGCTGCAAGTCGAATACTGCTGCACAAAATGAAGGGTTTGCTTTAGCTTTCTCTTTATCAGCATTCTTAAGACTTCGAGCTAAGTTCTTGTTTTCTATATGCTGTTGATATGCTTGCTCCATTCTAACTTTTTCGTCAGTCAACCTGTTTTCGTAGCTGTGACAAACGTCACAGAGGTCTTTCTTCGGCAGAAAGAAAGAAATGTTGAATTCGGTTGTGAAAATGTGTCTATACATACTTTCTGTAGCTCTCCTTTCAATGTTATTATCTAGACAGAATTCTTCATACAGAGCATACATTTTACAAACATTTAGTGTTGGAGGTAAGTATTTTCGCTCCGTTTTCTGTCTGCAGTAATGGCTATCAATGGTTTCAAACAACATGATGTGGTTACGAACTGATTGTTTCACTGACTCGTCCAACATGGAATTTTTACAGGCTTTACCTCTTTGATCTTCCTTGATATATCCAGCAGAATTCATTTTGTTAAAAACTGTTCGAACTGTTTGGGCACTAATACATAGAGTATTCAAAAAAATGTTTTGCAGACTTGGATCTTTGATGTTTCAGTTTGTAAATGGTAAACGAAACTAAAACTTCTTCTACTATTATTCTCAATTTCATCTTGCTCCTCGTTATTTTTAGTTTTACGTTGTCGACACCTCGCCTTTGGATTACATTGCACATATTCTGATATATAATCTCTTTGACGACTTATATCTTTCAAATCCCAAAAAGTTTTAAAAATTATATTTCTTTGTTCTTCGTTCATTCTTTGAAAACATTTTAATCTACAGTTATTACACGCCTCTTTAATTCTTCTCTCTGGTCTTTTTTTACCTTTCCAATCCGTATAAGCTTTTCCACTATTTCTCAATCTCTTGATTTTATTTCTTTGCCAATTATCCGAATTCGGAAGACGCTTACGCACTCTTCTTTTTTCTTGTGGATCCGACGATGACGTTGAATGATCAGAAATAGAATCTTGCAACTTTATTTTTTTTTTAATTTCAAAATCAGGGTCTTCATCTGAATTATCTCCCCCAAAAGGATCGCTTTCCGAAGAAGATATACTCAAATCTTCATCCAGAGTATTTGAAATTTTAGGTATACCCACTACAGTAGAATCAGTCAAGTTTGTTGTATTTAATGTACTGGGAATAGGACGTCCATTTTGCTTTGCTGCCGTCTCTTCCAAAATATCCTGAAATTCAAAAGGTACAATATGTATTTTAGATATTTGCTACTTAACTAGCATTTTTAGCCATATTTTCAAATGCTAAATTTAAAAGCTGGTGATTTCGGGCAGGTATTGTTCCAACGGAAAAAGCAAGTCACGATATAAAACAAAACAACAAAAATCCTATCTATACTTCACTATTTGCTTACCGGTTGAGATTCGGCAACACTTAAGGTATATGATGCGCTGGGTAGGGTATTTTCTTTTTGGATGTTTAACACCTGAACCGACAACGTGTGCGTCATACCACTAACATTTTTATTTAAGGCAGGAATGGAAGCCAATATACACCTATTATCACACGTCGGGCTTTTTTCACCTAAAGCAAAAAACAAAATTTAATTTGTTGTTTGAGAATTCAAAAATGAAAAAGGCCGAATGTTTGCTTATGTTGTGCTTACATTGGGAGGCAAATGATTGACAAAACTGTGTATTGTCAAGTAATATTGAAGTCCAAATGGAATCATCTCGTATTGAAGATGTTTCATTTGCTAGTAAATAGGTAGGAGGCTGCTGATTGGAGGAATAATCCATCAAATAAGACCCATCTTTTATAGTCGGTTTTTCCAATTTTTTAACATTTAGCATTTGTAGAGGTACCCTTTTTGCAGGACTTTTGTGGGCATCTAAAATATATTCAATAAATAAAAAAAAAACATTTAATGGAAAATAATGATACTTGAGAACTTAAAATATATAAAATTAAAAATTACTGTATTAAAGAGCTTTCAGCTATAATTATTTTGTATTCGTTGCTTTGAAATGATATCAAAATTCGAAATAACTTACCTGCAGATTTGTCTTTTTTAATTAAATCATGAATTTTTTGTCCTCTTGATGGTATCATTTTTCTCTTGACTCTTCAAATATTATTTCACGTATTTTTATTTAAACGTAAACAAGTCTATGTCTACAAACCGGTATTCTAAGTATTCGATCCCAAGTCAGAACTAGTCTATGTAAATAAAAAATAATATCCTATGTCACACAAATATTAAGTCAGAACTATTCTATGTCCACAAAAGACAATTCTAAGTGAACGGTAACACGTCAGAACTAGTCTATGTCCTGTCTTACCCGCGACAATTAATCGACGTGCACACCGCCGTAGTTGACATAGTTCTGCTCTCAGCTGAACTTTATTTGGAAAGATAGGTTCATTTTTCATTCGGCAATTTCCGGGGCTAGTCGTACGCATGGACATAGAATAGTTTTGCAGCAGAAAGCGCAGCTCTTATAATGTACATAGGAATCAAAAAATGAAAATGGACATTTTTGGACATAGAATAGTTCTGCTCTAAGGGGACGATATGCAGCTGCCTACAGCGCCATATATTGGACACTAACTTCCCAAAAGCAGATTTTTAACTATTGCAGAGCGGAGAAAGATAGCTGTGACAAATTCTCTCAGATGATGCTACGATATCTCATTTCATCTTGGCTAATTTTTCGAACGCACGGATATAATGTGTACGAAAGAGAAACGTAAAATAGAGGATAGGAATCAAATTTGAGATACTTTTTTTGAAAAGGAAAAATAAAGTACTTGTTTTAAACAAGCGTATATTTTTAAATAAACTTGCGATTTGATGCTCCTAGCATAACTCTAAAATAAAAAAATTATATTAAATGTATTTTTTTACAGACAAAAGTATATGTTAAAAAAGTATATACTTTTGTAAATTTACAGCTGGTTCCCTAATTTGAGATACTATTCAAAAAATCCTTTTCTTTTGCAGAAAGTGCAAATGAAAATTTTATTGGTAATTCTTCACAATCTTTGTGTGCCCATCTACTACAATGGCTGCATTTTGCCCATTTTCACCCTTCTTATCTCCGAAAAATCGACCCGTACAAGATAAACATTCAGCATCGCTTTCATGTTGCTTTCGTCTGAACATGAATCATCCAACTTAAGGCCTCCGCTGCATTTTGAACTTGAACTGGAGGGGCAAGGTATCTATCCGAATCCTTTTGAGACCTTTAAGTAATCCATCTCCTTATTCTTGTGTTTCCAGGCATCTGCGTCTTGATACAGGGCCCTAATTTGAGAGAAAACTTGGGTATCTCAAATTAGGAATTGTCCGTTAAAAAGTTTACACAAGCATATTTAGGTTATATACCTAATTAAATCGCAATATTGTAAAAGAAAATAAATAAGGTATTTGTAAAATAATAAATTCATATCAGACAATTGTTCTAAATAACTTACCGTAATTTTAGTAATCACTTTTCTCGCACTATTAAAAATAGTTTTAACTCTCAAGAAGTAACAAGTTGTGATGTCACAGCAAACCATGTGCAAAACTAAACTAAACACATGTAGGATACTACTGCGTCTTAGTTCACAACTTTTTGGTATTACTAGCAGATGGTGCTACAAAGATACAAAGTTACACCACTGTCTCAAATTAGGCGCTTATCTCAAATTTCGTTCCTTTCCTCTATGTATGTTAGAAAGAGTGCGTCGATGGCGTACGCGACCTCGTTACTCGGGTTGCTAGGCACCAAGGTGCTTCTATCTCTTTCTAACACACGTATTGCACGCTTCAAGCGCTTCTCTCTTGTACTACACATTACGACGTCAATGGTATTTGGTTTTCAGTGTATAGTATTAAGTTGGCTATATTCTCAGTTCTCCTTATTCAGTACCTTTTAAAAATGCCCCTCTCTACTCTCTAAATGTTTTTTGAACGGGTCAAGTTAGCAGTCTAGAATTCGTGGTAATTAAGTTGATGCATGCTTACTATATTTTAGCGTAAAAATCGCAGCTTAAAGTTTCAAGATGGCAGCTGGGTACCATTTTGGATTTTTTTAAATGATGTAGTCGAGTGATACCTCATTTTGACACTCCTTATAAGTACTTCCTGATCCTAGAGTATAAAACACCATCATTAAAAATTGTGATCTAGCATCCTGTTAAATTTGATCGTTTTTGTACATTGGCTGGCTCATAACTCAAGAATCAATCAACAAAAGACTATTTTACATTCATCTTCTTCCCTTGCAAAGATCTATTCCAATATGTAATAAAATATAGAATATTCTCTATTCTAAAAAATGTCAAAATATATTTTTTTTAATGTGAATGTCCCACATTTAGATAGACCTTTACAAGAGAAGAATATGATTAGCTGTTGCGTTATAAGCAATTCGGATTCAATGTACAAAAACATCTACCAGTGCGCCATTTTGGAAGATAGTTTTCTATTCCAGAGTTATAAAGTACACATAAAGTGCTTCAATATGAGGTATCACACATGTTCTGTGTATCACATGACCCCCCATTCCATTAAAAAAAATGTTTCAAAAGTGCGTCCAGCCGCCATCTTGAAACTTTTAACTGTCCCTTTTTAGGCTAAAACGCTTCGTGGCCCGAATTCCAGCTCGCTAACTTGGCCGGTTCGAAAAATATGCAGGAAGCACTTCTTGGATATCACTGTATACCTATGTACGAATACGAGTCTCCAATAACGAACAAATATATGTAGATAAGCCACATACATGCAAAAACTCACCAATATCAGCAGACCCCATAACACACCATCAGCAACAACTTCACAGTTAAGTATCAAAACTCTAAGTTTACGCGATGATTTTCAGGAACCGAATATTATAAGTTCACAAACTATCCACAGGCCTTATCGCTTATTCGTGAATTAAATCCATATTTCTACAGGAGAAACTTTGCAAACGAACTTTACAGTGCACGCTGAGAGCAAAACAAAACCCTAGTCAGGAATACGGTTATCTAACCAATAAAAACAGTGAAAACGAAAACAATTGCCTATCAAATTGATCACTTCCGCCGACTTCCGTCATAACTGTCTAGTTTCAAAAAACGAAGAAATCGATTAATACATTATGCATACATTAATTATCTCTTCAGGGACTAGGGCAATTTTCCAGAAAATGATTTCTATTTTTTTTCCTAGAATAGATTTCAATCCATTAAAATAATTTCAAATGTATGTGGCATGCGTATGAACAGGACCGTAGCCAGATGGACTCAAATGATTGCTTAGGTTTCAGGTATGCTGAGAACCTTCAGTTACAAATGGATCATGAGCCTCTCAAAAAAGTTTTTACAAGCTACAGTGGGATTAAACAGATACTTACGTACAAGGGGAAAATGAACATCTAGTGCTTCAATGTCGTAAAATCACATCTTAGATAATAATCAGCTCTAAAAGCCTCCTGTCAGTATCAAAACGGCCGCAATTTCGACGGAGAAAATTCGCATGTATATTCGCATAGTACAACGAGGTTGTAGTGCTCAGCAGCAGCCGGTGTTGCCCCGCATCCTGCCAGCCCCTGCAGATATTCTTTGCCAAAATTTTAATATCCCGATGTTATCTCTAGTGTAGGTTGTAGTAATAAAAATTAATATGTTTGTCCAGAAAAGGCAACGAAGTATTGATGCCTATTTATTCATGGAATTCTTTTAAAATAAATTTATATTGCAGCAGGGGTATTTGCATAAAAACGGAAAAATATTACTTTTACCATGCATTTTCCGCTGCTGCAATATTCTCAATCCGTTGCATTTTCAATGTAAACACTTTTAAAAGCACCAGGCAAACACAACATTCACTGAATCACAAGAATCTCGTTGTCTTTGTTGCGAAAAAAAAACGAGAGCAAACCACTAGCAAAGTGACAACCAACGCAATCAAACCTGACACTTCTGACGACTCATCAGCTAGGACGCTTCTACGTAGGTACAGGGCGAGTTTTTAATGTGTACCTAAGTGGTCGGTAAGTTCGAATATTTCAAATACCCAAGTTGGTTATAAAAAATTGTAGGCAACTTTACGCTCCTTACTTAGAAAGGGTGCTTCATAATTACACGGCAAGACAAATATACACATTTATGTTTGTTGTTTGCATTGAAAATGCAATGGATTGAAAATAACCCAGCAGATTCCTGGCAAACGTAGAAATTTATTTTAAAGCTTTTCCATAAGTACATAGTCATCAATACTTCGTCGCCTCTTGTTGAACTGACATAGTACTCCTTTTTACTATTGGTTCACAAAAACTACACTACTCGTAGATGACATCGGAATATTTTCACGATTGCTAAAGAATATCTGCAGCCGATGGCGTGGTATGCGGCACGCGGAATTTAGATACGTTTTTGACACTGACAGAAGAGTTTCTCAGCTGATTATTATCTAGGCTGTGATAAAATATAGTAGCATTGAAATGGGTCTCTCCATGGGCGCCCTCAAGGATTTTTCGCAGGGGTGAAGGGGATATCTGCGACAGATTTGATAACTCTTTTGCGAATCTGTACCTGCCTCACATACTTTTTGAAGAGCTCTCGGTATAAAATGCATTATGCATATGCATAATATTTTTATGATTATGTGTATTTCCATCCTACCAAACATGTATCACTTCCATCACAATACGATCCTATTTTGCATTCACTGTAATACTAGAAACCTTATAAGCCATACAAATAATACAGATATGCGATGACAAAACTAAAATCAAATGGTGATTCACAATTATTACTAATCAATTTCAAATTGCATTACTTAATAATCATGAAAATGCTAATCGCTGTCGTCTTAATGCATTCTAATTTTGTGCAAATTTTATTTATGTACATTGACTATGGGTACGCAGTGGTTACAGGTACCTGAGCCACATACTACCAATAATTCGTGTTTTTCTGTGCATCTCATAATGACGTCGAAATTTAGTGACAACTCGTCAACTGACGTGATTTTTCCAAATATCGACGTCGTAATGACGTCTACCAAATGTTCAGTTGTGCACGGGTACTGCAAGACGTTATTATTACGTGTTCATGAGGTTATCTTTTTGACTCACGCATTTTTGCGTATGTACGATGTTTTAGTAAATCTCAGCGATTCAAAACAGATCAAGGGAGCTAGCAGAGAAATACTGTAATTCCATCCCTCATCGACGTTCACACAAAGCAACTCAAAGTTGTTTTTCTAACGTTTTCTAACGATTTTTAAGAATAAGTGTGAGTGCAAAATGATCAAGAAATGATCTTGTTGGACAGAACATTTAGATAGAACATAAAAATTCAGTGTGATATGTTTTACTTGAAAATGTTTTTACTTTTAACCTGGCAACGCTATATCGAGTGACAATAGGCACAACAATCGTGGATCGCTGCAATCGACGTTATTCCTTCCCGCTTCCGCCATTTGTACTCGCTGCTCGCGTCTTGTTGCTTCAACTTCTACATACTGAGTATTCCCAAAACTGTATAAAAATATGCCATTTTAAAATCAGTTTCAGGCTAACGGTAATTTTAATTCTCTAGCATATTGTATATAATACCAAGTGTGTTACCCTTAGTAATACACAGCTCACAGGGTGTAAAATTGACAACATTAGCGTAGTGTTCCCACCCCCAATGTCGTGTAAACGGAGAAGTGAGAGATGGGGGTCCGGTATTAGATCGTCTTTCATCGCTAAGCGAGCAGCACCGAACCAATGTTACAACGTACCAGTATAGCCTATAGTGCTTCGTCTGTGTAATACTACTGATAACACAAAATAACTGATTATTCATTATAAATCATAGACGTCATCTTCACGTCAAGCAAGTGACGTATTATTGCCGTCTGCTGTATGGCGTCATCGGTATGTGACATTAGAAGGTCATTTTCGCGTTACTCTTACGTTATGTCATGACCAGTTTGCGACGTCCTTTTCACGTTCTTGTGGTACCTGGGATAAGACATATTATTTACCCGACTGTCTCGGTAGAGAGGATAATGTTTTTCGTGCGTTTGTATGCAGGTTGTATTTGTCCAAAGTTTCAATTTCACGAGCTATTACTTGCCGGAATCTCCTAGTTCACGGGATACAACTTGAATGGTTTGATAGGTTCTGACATATGAATTATGAAGTATCTCTACGTTTGTTTTGACAATGCGAGTGACACTGGGTACCAAAATTGTGTACTAAAATTTTATAAAAAAATGTTGGATTTCTAATTAAAAAAATCAACCTTGAAATTCCAATATTACGGGCAACATCTTAAATAGCCTGGTGGATTTTAACGTACGAGGTGTCTCGACATTTCTATTGATAGCGCAGTTGAATCTTCATTCTTTTTAGTTACTGCAGTCGGATTGTTTGGATATTTTTTACATGTACCTGTTTAATACGTTACTATAGTACCTAGTGGTGAAGAGACAAAGCGAGTCAAGTAGGCCATCTACGGCACATTTGTGTGGACGCCAAGTGTACTAACGCTCTACTCCACATGATTATCCACAAATCCATCGAACATTTTCCTGATGAATGTCAGAATACAAGGCAAAAGCCTGAACAGTAAAACGTTGTCTCGTCCCTCTCCTTGCACATGGGGCAGATAGAATATCTTTTCACCCTTAGAATACGTTCATAGTGAAGATGCTTTCTTCGCTATCGCGATGTCGATGTTACCACGATAGAAAACAAACGCTCTCTGTGCCACTATGTGTACGAGTAAAAAGAAAATATTTTATTTTTCCCTCCCAATGTCAAGGGAAAGCATCGAGCTGGGCTAGACTATGATTGGTCCCTTTAGGGCCGCGCTCGTTCCGTGAATGATTTGAAAAAAGAAGGGACAACATCGAGGATGAGTCAGCAAGTCCATCCATATAGAATCATCAAGGAAAGTTGCGAGCAAACGTTCATTGACGCAACGGAGAAAGCATCGCAGTAAAGCAACAAAAGATTGACCTATTATCTACCTCTGTCCAGTATAGCCAGCCCGTCAGACTGACGGGGCCTACTATGAACACTTCTCGCAGATCCATATACCCCCATCCAGGCAATATTTTGCATTGATCTGGTGTCGACTTTATACCGAATCTAAGCTCGGGACCGATATATGAGCCCCTGGTCTCCAGCCTTGTACTTTTCATTTACGAAACGGTACTGAATATGTTAGTTTGACCACAGATAAAAAACTCGTTATTGTTAAGCAGAGTTTATACAACACTTTAATCACAGTCAACATAATCATTAGTTAAATTAAATGTTATGAGCTTTCAAGTTCAGCTTTGTGCATGTGACAAGAGCTTAACCCTTATGATTATGGCATCTTGTATAAGCACTTTCATCAAGAAATGAGAATTTCAGCTCTTTCCCTTATGACTATTAAATTTCCAAAAACAAAAAAACACCTGTTGTGACTGTTATTTGCAGTTTTTGATTGTGATCGATTTCTTATCGACGTGATATTTTGGTGCTGCATAGGATTTTGGATTTAGCTCACATGTATCTCATTACTGAGTTTTCTTGCCCTGCATTATGTCTAAAAGGGCCATTAATTTATTGTGATTCAAATTCCTCACGAATTTAGCCCTATGCCGCCCCTGTCTTACTCCAACTCTCTCAATCCACGAACTCTGTGCTTCAGTTGTGGCACAGTGCTGCATAGCGGCACCTTGAGGACAAGCATCTAACTAAGAACCAGAAACTCGTACTGATTAGTGAACTTTTCTGCATGCAGGTTGATGTAGAAGCAGAAGTTTCGGTAACGGCTGGTAGATGTCGCATGTCAATTAATGATTATTTACGTATATGATCGCTAGGTGGCAGCCAGCTAATTGAAATTAAAAATCAACCAGCGACGAATTGTCAAGAACGTCAATGTCGTTTGTCATTCGCGAAGCCTATTCATCGCAAACAAAAATAGTGTTAAAGTGTAAGAATCCCTCCGTACTTGCAATGAAATGTCGTTCCGAGGTCGAGTACTAGGGCTGGTGGAGGTAGTGTTACGAGTACCACCCCTATTCGTCATCGATGAAATCCTCAAAATCGGAATTTCGGGGTTTGGGGAGCTGCACGAACGCATCCTCTCCCCAACAACAGTCTTTTATGGGGTTCCAGACCCAGAAGACCATGTTTTCGAAAATACAACCACCACTAGTCAATTTTACGACCCAATGGTCTACGGAGTGGTGTTTGGGTACTTTCTCAGACTGTCCTTGTCAACCCTTGGTAAGTACCTACACTTTGCAAGTTCAATAAGCATTTTGTTATAGTTACAATCTCTTTTTTACATTCCAAATGCTGTTAAACAGCAGATGAAGGTTATTATCCACAGTTGTTTAATTTTTCAGCTTCTGACAGTCTTTACCAAAAATGTCGACCTTCAATTAGATCATTGTATAAAAAAAGGCAAATGATGCATTCATACAAGGTTTGTACAACCGTTTTTACAGCTGCATTCTGTTGTATAATGTTGTATGACTATTTTTTACGACATAACTACGTCATAAAGCGGTTTATTTGCCTCAAGAGTCTAATGAATATTATTCCACATTAGCATAAAAACAATCAAATATCAAGCTACATACCTAATTAGTGAATAAATTTAGACTTGGATGCTCTAGACAATTTTTTTTCTACCATATTTTGCAGCATCAAACAAATGTGTAAGCTTCAGTATGTATGCTCATGTATATTATGTATAAGCCAGAATCTAATTACAGATGCTGCAAAAGAGTACCTTCTAAAAGTATATCTCAAAGGAAATTTTCAACAATTCTTGATGCAGGGCATGTAAATAGGAAATACATTCAGGGTATTTTCTAACTGAATACCAATATTCAATGGGGCAATACTTGGGTCCATTTTAAAAAGAAAACCTCATATGAACATTTGCCCTACACATCTCAACTTTTGACATATGGGTTGGTAAAGTTTGCAGTATAGAAAGACAGTGGTTCACCACTGAATTCTCATAAAATAATGAATCACTTAATTTTTTTTTAGCCTAACAAGAGGTTTCACCTGAAAAAATAAAGGCTATTTCTCTGCATATTGTCTATATTTTTATAATCATGCAACAGATTGGTAGAAATTAAAAAAAATTGTAATACATAAAAAATAACTCTTGGTACATAGTAGATGTACACCAAGTTTTATTAAAATATCTAATATGGTATTTACAGATATTAATGATAAATGATTTATTTTAAAAGTTTACCACCTTGTATTGCAAAAGTTAAGATGTTTAGAACATACCTTCACATGATGTTTTCTTCTTAAAATGGACACAAAAATCGCCCCCTTTAATTAAGTAGTTTGTATAACCCCTGAAACTTAATTTGTGGTTCTCATTCAACAAATAAAATATTGTCAAAAAAGTGTCATTTAAGGAAGAAGATCACTGTTGTGACTGAAACATTAAAGGAGAATTTTAAGCATAGTAGACTGAAAAATGATATATAATTTTAGATAATCAACTTTATTGTACTTTACAGTGTTTGTTTTGTTTTTATCAGGAATGTATTTAAAATATTCAATCTGACAATTCTAAAACATGTAAGTGTCGTTCTAGCAAATAAAGAAAGTCTGTCTTCTAAATATATTTTCATCAGCAAGGCAAATATGAGGGAACAGCCTGTAGTTTACTGCAAATATCTATGTGATATTTACTGATCATGAAGCCTGGACATCAATAATTATTGATGCATAAAGTTACCTATAAATTCACCTTAAGATTATAAAATTATCAAGTAGAGATTATGTTCTACATAGAATAAGGCCAATCCTGCATTTGTCTTCATGGATATAGAGTTTAGAATTGCTGTGGACAACTTCACACCAAAACAACTGTCACTTGCTGTCTTTCCAATAATTGATGGTGGATCATCCCAGTCCCAAATGGCTATGGTACAACAGTAAAAAAATCTGAATCCTATATAACATAAAGTAGTAAATAGTTCTACATAGGTGTATTGGTATCTGGACTAAAAATCAAGTTCTAATGGCTGATTCTTTAGAATATGGAGAGGTTTAAATGAGGTCGGTTTCAGTGTATGAAATTAAAATCTGTTATTTCCAACAAAAAAGCAACAGAAAGAGACTAAATGCCAAACCGCTCAAAAATGAATGTACACAATCTATTACAGCTATTAAGAATCCATTTTTATCTAGGTGTAAAAAGAGAGCTACAAAAATATGAAAATGTTAGTACTCATTATCCTTGGAAAGTGTTAATTCTACAGATTGGTGAGCTATTTGGTCAGCATATGAATCATCTTAATGATAAGAATTCCAATGATGTATGCACTCTTGATTCTATAACTCACTTTTGTTTTCATTTTATTTTTATATATAGTTTTTTCATTTACACACAATATTGTTATATAATTAAAATTGGATTTGTGTCAAATTAGTCATGAGTAACAAATTGGTGCTTCAAATACATCTGATGAACTTTAGAAGCTATGAAAGTAATGTTGATTCATTTCTATTTATTATATCCCTATAAATCATGTTGAAATTGGATGTAATGAAGTTTGCAGTTTTGAATTCATTATTTCTGTTTAATAAGTAATATTAAGGTAAAAACGTAAAATCCACAATTAGATTTCTAAAAGTAAAAGGCAGTACTTTGAATTTATTGTGTATGTTCTAAAATCACATTTAAACCAGCAATGTTTCATGGCCTGGTAGCTACTTATGGATTATCTAGTAGCGTTATTTATTTATTTGTGAAATGAATGTTTTCTTTGTTAAGAAGTTTCTTTATCCAAAAACAAAAATGAATATGCCGGCAAAACCAGTGATGTGCACAGGAAAACTTTAATGAATGGTAAGCTTCTATGCTACTGATTGAGGATAAGACACTCATATTATTCAATTAATGTTGTAATGAGATCATAGCTTTCTTCACTTGCCATATAGTGTTTTCAATATCAAGCTTCACTGTGTTTTCAGAATATGCAAAACTTTTTCATAAGCATATGTTAGGATTTTACCTCAAATATTCAAACCTAAGTATCTCCAAAATAAGTGATCCGACAAACATTCGTCAAAAAATAAATTTAATGGAAAATTGAGTTTTTTTTATAAAATCCTCTTCTTTTCTCCCAAAAGGCCAGTGGCGTAGAAACTGTTACCTGTTAGGGGTTCAGGTACTCTAGTTTCTACGTCCATATTTATAGGAACTTTTTTTGTTATTTTTAGATGTACTCTGTACCCTAGGAATACTTTCTGAAACAGCCTGTAGAGGGGTCAAGGATTAGTGGACAGACAGATCGACCGACAGAAATGAGTGCCATGGTTTTTCGTCTCGTACATCTCATATAAGATCCAAAAAAGATAATACCTCCTTTTCTAAATTCTTTGCGTTTACAATACTTCACCGCTAAGTGGCGTAGGAGGTGAAAAAGAGGAAATGGGAAATGAGCATTAGCAATCTCTTTCAGCTATTAAAGTGTAATTTTATCCGGGTAGCGTATATTCCATTCTTATATTGGTTTACTGAAGAGTCTGTTTTGTTTCAGGATGCGCGGCAGCAATCGGAATGTTCATCCTGAGCACCAAGCACCTGATGGTGGTGTACATGTACCTTATGTCCGTCGGCCTAGTTCTGACCTCCTATTGGAGCAACGCAACAGCTGTGAAAACTGCTCTACAAGCATCTGCAACGAACGCCACATTGACGGCTATACCGGACCTCCTCACCCTGAACTTCAGACGGCTCTTCCATGATAACTACTGGCTGGTGCGCCTATTGCAGAACCACTTGTTGCAAACCACCATGGCGATCATTTTCTTCAACATCCATCTGGGCCCGAGGCCTAAGCTTTTACAGAAGATTCTACCTCTTTGCTTCATAGTGCCGTCAATTTTGGCAGCACTACCACTCCCTGCTGTGGTACTGAACTACATGCCTGTGTTGGCTGCGATTTTACCACTTCTGCTTGTTAAGTTTGTCTTGTTCTCGTCGATATTCCAGATTAGTCAATCAGTGTATTCTGGGTACATTCAAGCGAAGAATTTTGTGACGAATTTTGGGGTTTCGGCGCTGATCGAGTTTGAGTGGTTGCGACTGAATGTGCCCGAGGTTCTGAGGACATTTTGGACCTTGAGGGTGCTAGAGCGCATCGCTATATTTTTTCTGTCTGGGTCTTGGTCTGTCGAGGACGGAAATTCTCCATACTTCAGGTACGTAGATAGTTTACACGTAATTAAACGTTTTTCAATAAGGTCTGACGTTATTGAGGTTTTTCTACAAAATGTTAACCCAAGCCCTAGCTGATGAACACGTGAACTCGTTTTGTAGTTCTACGGTTGCCTAAACGTCATGAGGCTTCAGTTATCAATGTTTGGCTCTGATGTGGCTTTGTGTGCTAATAATATTTGTTGATGATAATCCCATTGGATTCTTGTCTCAAATACATTCAAAGCTAGAAATTGGTTGTGCATCCAATTTTTCTTATCCATTCTGGAAATTACATATGCACTGATTTTATACACATGCAGACCAATACACAATCATCCAGGTGCGATCTTGCTACTCAACCAACCTCCTTCTCAGAGATGAAAACTATAGACTACTCAGCTTCACAAAACTTATGCAACCAACAGTGCGTCTAGTTTAGCTATTCCGCCATAGATGGACGCTCACAACGATCCTAGTGAGCAAACGTGGAATGACTGTTTGCGCCCTCAAAACTAGTCTGCAAGATGACATTTTATAGTTTTTTTACGTTGTATCGGTTTTTTACATAATACCCGTGCGGGTCGATGGTGAAGTAAAACAAACTCTGTTTAAACTACTGTTATTAGGAAAAACTTACGAGTTCAGAAATCATCACCAGACGACGGAACCAAATCGTACAATCCTATTGGCCAATCCACTTTTGCGAGCGATAATCCCGCGCTCAATACCTTCACGCAATGCCCATTATGCCGTTGTCTATTTGCATTCAGTTGGAGCCAAGATAAATTGGTTATCATCTACCTACAGGGTGACTTCGAAGTTGAGTCATTTATTTTAACAGTGAGTAGATCTGATCAAAAGAAATGTTTTTTCCTTTAACATTTTTCTGGTAAAATTAAAGTAACAAAGTTATAGCCCTTTAGAAGTTTGAGTACCGCCCTGTCTCAATAATAATATGTGCTCGTGTTTGGCAACAACGGATATCGGTTCATCGCATCGGAAACAAAAAAGCGAAAGAATTTGAAACGTTTATCACGATGTTTTTCGTCAGTCGGTAACGCGTGAGTGAATAGTGGTGTTTGTTGCGTGACTCAAACGAAATGAAAAATGGCACATGTTTACAAAAATGCTGAACTTGTGGACATGATTCTTATTTACGGGGGGGCAGTCTTTACAAAATGCTGCCGGATGCATCACGGATTTATGCAAATCGGTTTCCCAATCGAGTGCAACCAACCGCTCGTGCCTTTGTTAATGTAGTACAAAGGGCTCGTGAATCAGGTGACTTAAGACCTCACAGGTGAGGGCATGCCGGTGCTCCAAGACCGCACGATCAAATACAGGTCCGCACTGAAATACTTGTCGGGAGGATACTTTATTAAACAAGGTAACATTTTTTTTATTTTTACACACATATTTTGGTTTATCTTCCTTCTACAATCATTATCTGAAAATTAATGACTCAACTTCAAAGTCACCCTGTATAGCGGCGTTGATAACAGCAGCAAAGCTTTAAATAAGTTACCACAAATTACCACTGCAGAGTGAACACTGCAAGCTATCTGTTGGAACTGCAACCCAGTTCGAATTATGAGCCGGGTCATAACTGTGACCGCTGATTCTGGGCTATAGTTGCTATGGAATATGTTCAGACCCATGTCGCCAAAATTAAACGCCTTTCTGTGGCTTCATGCCACATATCTATGACAATCCTATGATATCCTCGTAACCACTTTACACAAGTCTGCGGATATTTGGCTGATGTCATATTCTGTTCAAAACGGCATATATTAAGCTTTGATAGAAAAAAGAACTTTGTTAATGAGTACTCATTCACAGCTTGTTTTGTTACATTTCGATATTGACCCGTCTTTATTTGAAAACCCTTTACATATAGTATAAGGCAGTATCACAAATACGATGTCAATCTGGATTACCCAATATTGAATTAAGAATCAACCAGTACCTAATTATTAGCTGCCATATCATACTTAGTTTTTGTTTGTAACCAGTAATCAGTTTTATATTTTTTACCCTGTTTAATAGGTGGCGAGATATTCTGATCGAGAGAAGTATCCTGTGATTATCTTTATCAAATGCCTTTGAAAAATCCGTGTCCACTACGTATAATCACCCCTACTAGGTCCAATTTCCATTCTATTTCCAAGATGAATCAAGTATTCACCATTATCCCGAAATCCAACGAATTCTTCCATATTTGTTGTTAATTGTTCCAGGTTGATCAAGTTCCTCATGGTGACCGGTTGCGACACTCTAACTGCCGTACTGGGTATCACCAGCGTGGTATCGTATGTCTGCAACTACATAGGCAAGTTCTTCCAATGGATCTTGTTGACGGACGACGAAGACGATAAGAACTTTGGCACCGTTTCCGCTATAGTTTTCTACATTTTGGCACTACAAACTGGCCTGACCGGCTTAGAGCCTGAAGTCCGATTCGTGCGACTCTGCAGGAATTTTTGCCTACTGTTCACTGCTCTACTTCATTTCACGCATAACGTGGTGAACCCACTTCTGATGAGTCTGAGCGCCTCGCATAATCCGTCACTCAAAAGGTATGTAGCAAAAATTTATTAGAAATTCCATACATTTTCGCGATCACAGGCCTTCCCCTCGGGAAAAGATTGTTCTCTGTAGGATTATATCTAAAAACTCGTACGGAGACAGATTGATTTTTAAACAAAATATAAATTTTACACCTGTAATAATAGCTTGAGGCCAGTGATGTGTATATTATAAATAAAAAATATAAAATAAAGTTGGATATATATTTTTATAATATTTCTTCAAGTGTTAGATTTATGTTTATTAGAAATGCTCTATTATATAAGGCAACAATGCAATGCAAGATGGAAAAAGTGGTAGAACACGAAATGTGTATAAAGTGTTGTTAAATTTAATGCAAAGGATATCGTACAACAATGGTTTGGGATGATATGGAATGATTTCAAGTCTGTAAAAATCAGTTCATACCTCCGCAAGCATAGTTCTAAAATATAAACCTTACAATGGGTGGTTCAATTGCCACTTTGTTTATACCAGAATCAGCAATAAAAAAATATTATAACTTTGTAAAGACTTGGTACAAATAACATCGTTTTACAGGCATCTACATGCTTTACTAGTCTGCGGAGTCCTAGTCGTCCTTCCATTGATCTTGATGTATTTCCTGTGGAAGACTCAAGATACCTCCACGTGGCTGCTAGCCGTTACGGCTTTCAGTATCGAAGTGATAGTTAAAGTCTTCGTGTCTCTATCGATTTATTCGCTGTTTCTTCTGGACGCGAGGCGGGAATCATTCTGGGAGAAGCTAGATGATTATATCTACTACATCAGGGCATTTGGTATGTAACTATTGCTTTAAAGCATAAGAGTATTTACAATTCTTTAGCAAGTAAAAATAGCTTCTGACAACTGTTTGAGATATGTACTTGCCTCCGACCAGCCGAAATGAACGGCTCTTTGATAGAACTCGGCCATTCATCGAAACCCAATGAGCGCTAGTTCGCCAATTTACAGTGTGTTTTGGAAGCATTAAACTATACAAGATTGTTGCGTCCCCTTTAGAGCAATCAGCGGATTACAGCTTATTATTATAGCTTAATAACAAATACCTGCAATCTCGGGATATTTCACAAGAGAAAATTTAATGTCACCCAAACTCAGTTCTGTGCCAATAAGTTGCAGTCCATTGATGCTAAAATCAGCATAGCCCAAGTTAACGCTCAAATTCAGTCAAATTTATTCGATAAAACAACTAAAACTTGGAGATTCGTGCACTATACGAAGTCGCGGTGGACATTTCACTGGTTATATTCCATACAAAGTAACATGTATATGCTTATTCGAATAATAGAACTCGCAAAGTCTGCTTTATCTCATTGCAACATCGACCCGTCCTTATTGAAAACCCTTTAGATAACGATAAGTACAATTGGAAGTATAAGATGTAAAGGAACTTTGCTGGAAATTACCAATAATTGACCCTATCTAATGTCAAAAATTAACAACTGATAAAAAAGTTTCTTCATAACCATGAAATGCTACATAATACATAACCACGATTCTAGAATCTTTAAAAATCAATTGTCTTGTGTATAATTAAAAAAATGTTTTTTATCGGATTCAATTGTAGGATATACATGAGGACCCTTTTTTAAGGATAAAGGATTCCTTACCAAATAAGTTTCAGGGAGTGATTAACAAAATGATGACATTTTACCACGACACGAATGAACTGCATTAGGTTATTTGCTACATTTACGCAGGGTTCTTGATTCTGCATTTTTTCGTCAGGTGCAATTTCTTCACTTTATTGAGATGAGTGAATAATAATAACATATATTATTAACGAGTATAAAAGAGACAACATTCCATAAGGCAAGAAGATTGGCTTGGCTATGTTTCACCTTCCCCTAAAAAGTTAGTGTGATGAACAAGCCAGATCGACAACTCAGGTGGCACTGAACTGGTAATGAATTGCGCTGTACGCCTCTAGGATCAGAAATGTGTACTACACAAGCTCCTCCCCCTGCAATGCTATGCCGGTTATTTTTGGGTACCTCCTCGTATATCAACCACTATTAATTGAAGAATCCAGCGACTCGTAACATCAGTAAAGGACCATAGGAAACCCCTGAGCGGTGCCGGCGTATACAGAATACTGTGTTTCTGTGGTAAAGTATACGTAGGCACCACTAAACGTAGCTTCCAAACACGCACCAAGGAGCATGAAAGAAACTGTCGACTGATATTTACAAAAGTCTTCCGTCTATAATTCATTATGAAGTATCCATTGAAAGAGAATGCTGACATATTTTCTGGATGGGGAAATTAAAATGTTCCTTCAAAAACATGAAAATACAGTATTGCATGTACGTTTGCGAAGTAAAATTACCAAATGAGTCTTAAATAGGAATGCGTGAGCAGCTTTATTTTAGATACAGTCTTGGAACAGGAAAGCATCACACTATTGCATGACAGTAATGGTTGCTCTTGCATAGTCTGCAAATATAAAAGTTAGCCAAATTTTTGAAAGTCACTCAACTTGGGTATTTTAGGATGTAACGTTTTACGATAATCTTATTTTCCATCTTCCAGGAAACACCGTGGAATTCTGCTTCGGCATTTTCCTGTTCTTTAACGGGGCGTGGATCCTGATGTTCGAGAGCGGCAGTACCATCCGTGCCGCGATGATGTGCATCCACGCGTACTTCAACATCTGGTGCGATGCGAAAGCGGGCTGGTCGGTGTTCATGAAACGCAGGCTGGCCGTGAACAAAATCGAGAGTCTACCGGAAGCGGAGAAGGAGCAGCTGAGGATACTGGACGATGTGTGCGCCATCTGTTATCAGGAGATGCAGACGGCGAAGATCACTAGGTAAGCATGAATTTATCGTAAGTTTGTTATCCTACTTTTTTGGGTGGCCACATGTGTTAGGAGTTCGTGCGGTGTAGGAAAATACACTGGAAATGGAAAAAGCAGGTAATTTGACGTCCGAATGTGACCTTGACCTCAAAGGCGTGTCAAGCCTAAATGCTATTTCTTGCTTTTTAAATTTCGAGTATAAAAAAGGTAGGCTTCCTTTGGAAATTTGGACTTGACCTTGAAGTGCATGGTCAAGGTTATAGTGAAGGTAACTTTTATGCATTGCTAAAATGACCGCCTGGCATAGTTGTCAATAATAAAGCAATGTTAACAATACACAATAATGACAATACTCGGTGACAGGTGTTTACGTCAAATTACGAATTTGTTTGCAACGCCTACTTAAAAAAATGGAAAAATCAGAAAACACGCATTTTTCCTTATAATCTAATATATATATATACAGGGTGACTTTGAAGTTGAGTCATTAATTTTCAGATAATGATTGTAGAAGGAAGATAAACCCAAATATGTGTGTAAAAATAAAAAAAAATAAAAAAAATTTTTACCTTCTTTTATAAACTATCCTCCCGACAAGTATTTCAGTGCGGACCTGTATTTGATCGTGAGGTCCCCTGTGAGGTCTGAAGTCACCTGATTCACGAGCCCGTTGTACTACATTAACAAAGGCACGAGGGGTTGGTTGCACTCGATTGGGAAACCGATCCGCATAAACATGTGCCATTTTTTATTTCGTTTAAGCCACGCAACAGACACTATTCAGACGCGACTGACACTGACTGTATGTATAACTGAACTGAATAAAATAAACATCGTTCCAAATTCTTTCGCTTTTTTGTTTCCGATGCGATGAACCGATAAGGTGGATTATATCCGTTGTTGCCAAACACGAGTACATGATATTATTGAGACAGGGCGGTACTCAAACTTCCAAAGGGCTATAACTTTGTTACTTTAATTTTACCAGAAAAATGGTAAAGGAAAAAAACATTTCTTTTGATCAGATCTACTCACTGTTAAAATAAATGACTCAACTTCGAAGTCACCCTGTATATATATATATATCATATAAAAGATAAATATTATTTTTATGCCAAAAACAAACAAATTCAAACATTTTGGCCTTGTGATTAATTCGCAACAAAAAAAGATAGACGCTTTATTTTAAAATGTGTAGAGTAACGTATGTTTTTCGAATATCATAGTGCATTTGTTGAATTACTCACAAATACGAAATGTTTGAATTTGTTTAGAAGAAAAAACGTGCATAAAAATAACATTTATCTTCCGAAATAGTTTGCGATTTATATCGGCAAGGTAAACCAGTGTATTTTGCTATAAAATTAACTTTGAACTAACCCTGTATATTGCTCAATAAACTAGTAGTGATGGCCGGAATACAGGTGTTATGGGATAAACAATTAGATATTCCCAAAAAACTACTCGACCAATCTACTCCAATTTTGTTGTGGTTATTTAGAAGTATGAATCCTACGAATTTGAAGAATTTCAAGTATCTGCGAGGAACCATCGTCGCATTACCAACAAGTGCCAAGACCTGCAGTTTGCATCGGTTTTCGGTCATGACTTTTTTGTTATTCGTCGGATCTTTTTACGTGTGGTCTCATTTTTTAGGTCTCATAAATACCTAAAAGTCTTATATGAAGAGTTTTTTCGTTCCTACCAACACTTTCGATTGAATCCCAAAAAACACGATTACTCATTTTTTGTTGTCGAATAAAAAGTTTTCCCACAAAAATTGATCTACCCAATTTATGCATCCATGTTTTAAATTCAATTTAAGCTGTATCTCACACAAGAAATGCATAGGATCCTTATCTTGTATTTTAAGCCAAACATATACCTTACACTTCGTTTTTGTGTCCCAAAGAATGAAGCGTTTTCAGTAAAAAAAGCATGTTGGTAAAAAAATTATTTAAGTGGTTTCTGTAATGACGTATTCAACATAGATTGCAGTCATCCTTTTAACAACCGTCTCGGCTTGTCGCAAAAGCTAAATGATGTCCTCATTTCAGATGCAAGCATTTCTTCCACGGCGTTTGTCTGCGGAAGTGGCTGTACGTACAGGACAGGTGTCCGTTATGCCACGAGATACTGCACTGTATGAACACCGACGAAAAAAGAAACGACGCGTCGAACAACGAACAACCGTTGAATTTGCCAGACCCAAATAACTACGATAGGTGATAGGTCTAAACGATGGTGATTTTTAGGATATATATTTCATATATTTTTGTGTATGGGAGTGTTTATGCATAGCAGCAACAGACCAAAATGTGAGTTTTATGGACTTTATACAACTATATTTTTACTTATAAAAGCGTGATTTGTCATTTTCGGTTTGATTCTTTAAACGCTATGACACGCTATTTTATTTTTTCTGATGCACGATTTTCGATCTTTTATTACGCAATTAGTAATATTTCAATGGATCGACGCAATGATGAACTATGTCTAGTCCAATCGCAGAGTGTGAAAAGTCTCGCAACAAAAATTAGTTGATTGTAGCGAACACTTGGAAAATCATTTGAAATTATATTATCTGTAAAATAGTCGAGATCCTTTGATTCTCCGAATGCAGTTTATATCAAACTAATAAATAAATCCGTTTAACTAGAGTTGCCTATCGGCAGCTTGCATCAAAAAGGTTTGGTTCTAGGTGAAAAGTAAGTGTTTTGTAAAAATATCTGTTGACAATGGTAATGTGGATTGCTACCAGCAATAAGTTGGCCAGTAGTTGTAGTAGTAGTATAGTAGTAGTAGAGGTGGTGGGGAGAGGAAGCCTGGCAACCATGCCATCTAAATAGGATCCTTTTTGACTACCCTGTTTTACCATTTGGTAGTGGTTTATTCGTACACTGGTCAGAGGCTTGTCGGTGACTGTGTCTGGGATCCGGCCGTGTGAATTCCGTTTACACACCGAAGCAGCATGACCGGAATCCGAGTGGCCGGATCTGGTACACGGTCACAGTCAGGTTGTCGACTGCTGTACGATCAAAGCATACACTTTATTTCTATAGCCAATCAAAAGCGTATCACAACGGTGACCTTTTTCAGTACATTGACTTTTTATGTGTACAATGTAAAATTACCGGGGTTGGACGCGTATTGATATACCGCTGCAAAAAATAAGATATACCCTCCCTCACCTCCTATAACGCCAGGATGACCCCCAACCCCCGATTTTTAAACCCTCCAATTTTTTTTCTGGTAATGATCAGGAGCATCTGAAACATCCAAAAACGAAGTTTGGATGTTATTTTTTTTTGTTTTTGCCCTTTACGTCGCCTCCGCTGGACCGATTTTCAAAATATACAAGGATTTTTTGGCCTTGGCATAGTGGTTATCTCGTGTGAAAATTTCATCAAAATCCGAATGGTCGTTTCCAAGTTGTAGAACCTCCCCACCATCTTACAACCCGCAACCCCCTAATTTTAACCCCTCTAAAAAAATTCTTACTAAGTTGTAAGATTAGCGGACAGACCGACGGAAGTGAGTAACATGGTTTTTCGTGATGTACAGTAATGGACAAAAGTATATAGACAAATTAATATTGTGCTGTATTTCTTTTTTAACTTGTTTTATTAATATACCAACCTGTATACATACTTCGTTATAGCATAATACTCACTTATACATAAATAAATTCATTAGACTTCCTTCAATAAAAAATTAATTGAAAAAACGAACTATGAAGGACAAAAATATATACACAAAGCAAAATAAATATAGAAAAAAGGAGTTCATTGAATTATAGAAAACCAACCATGATTGTGTTAATATTTTGTAGCGTAACCATTATTATCAATCACCGCCTGGCATCGTCTCGGCATAGATTGTAGAAGTTTCTTGATATAAGATTCATCAATATGTCTCCCCTTTTGATCTAAAGCGGCAAAAAGTTCATCCTTGTTTGAATAATGTTTATCTCGTATTTGCTTATCTAAGTATTCCCATAGATTTTCAATGGAGTTTATATCGGGAGACTGTGAAGGCCATTTGAGAATTGGTATTTTTTCATCCAGAAAGAATTTCTTTGCCGGATTTGAAGTGTGCTTCGGGTCATTATCTTGCTGGAAGATTGATCTTAAGGGCATAGTGTCTTCCATATAGGATAACATGACATGCTTTAGTATGTCTGTGTATACAAACTTATCCATAATGCCATCTATTCTATGTAAAGGTCCCATCTTAAACCCCGAACAGCACCCCCAAACCATAGCAGACCCGCCTCCATGTTTGACAGTGGGCAAAGTACTTGGGGTTCAATCTTTGTCCGCTAGGAGGTCTAACGTAATGAACACCATCTGATTCAAACATATTGAACTTGGATTCGTCACTGAAACATACCCTCTTCCAGTCACAGATGCTCCAATCAAGATGTCATATAACATTAAAAAAACGCAATATCTCATTTTAGATTTTTTTCGAAATTACAGTACTTTCTCGCCAGTGTGGTTTGGTAAGTGAAAGGAAGTATTTTTATTTATTAGTCTTTTCAGGGTCTTCTTAGTAGTAATCTAGTACTTTAATCATAAATAGATTATCTAAGGGCCGTATTGTCAGTCGTTCCTACAATTGTAGGACGCCTTTATGGCCTCCTTGACTTTGATAGTTTTCTACAGTACCATGTCAGCGCTCTATTTTGAGGTTATATTACAAATATCTATTTGCATCAAATTATTCAGGCTTTTTTTATTTATATCAGCCTGAAATTTTCTGCAATTAGAAAAGAAAACATAAATTCACAATATGAGAGCGCTGACGCTAATACGGAACCGTGGAAGTCTAGAAATACCCCAGCCTTTCTGAAGGAGAGAAAAGACTATGAAAATCAAAAAGGTCATGAAAACGTCCTACGACTGACGACACGGCCCCAATCTGTTTTAAATAGAAAATACATCAAGTTGGAGTTTCATCGATATTTCCACGATCGCTCAATCTATTTACAAGTGTTACAAGTTTTGGCACTTTTTGATGTCGCCATGACGACGGTGTTACTTTTCGTTTACATATCATCGATTACAAAAATTGGCCCTAAGGTAACCGATTGTTGGGTAAACCAGCTCCAACGATGTTAATTCCGATGCCGAGATTTGAACCCCCGCGACCTGTGGAGACGATGACCAGCCGCCGTCACAGGAAAATACTAGGCTTCCCAGTCCGTTTAAGTTAGCCATATCATTACGTTTTGTGTTTGCATTTGAAATTACAATAACATCTATCAGTATGTTTGAATTAAATGACCTATACCCCATTCGTAGTCCATTTACGCCCAGACAAAACAAAGCATGCCCAAAAGCGAGATTGTACAGGTCCGTATTTTCCTCAATAGTCTTGGAATAATCTATCAAGATAAATGATTATATTTATAGAAAGAAGTGCGCATACTTTTCACAATTCTTTTTTCGCTTTAATTACTTGAATCATCGTCCGAGTGGTTAATATTAATTATTACAAGTTCGATTTGAATATCGACCATATTGTCCAGATCCCACATATTTGTTTCAATTGTCTCTTGAACGTGACGGATGCAATCCTTCCAATGGTTTGCCGTCACTGTTGACAGCTTCAAAAAACAAATTTTTCACGTCAGAAAATTTGAAAGTCCTATTGTTTGAAGCCGCATAGTTTTTTATATTTGCCCAAATCATTTCAATGGGATTAGGGATAAGGGGGTAGCCTTCAAACGGTCTTATTTTGGTTTTTAGCCATTTCGTCAATGATATTAAGATTATATTTATATTTGTGCTGCCTGACTAGATGTATAAGTTCTGCTTTGACCATATTTTCATTGAAACTAGTGACATTGTGGGAATTTTTTCTAGTTTTATAGTGTGGTATGCAGCATTATCAAGTACAATGACGGAATTGTCGTCCCATACTTTAGGTTTTGTACGTCCTGCACTTATCCACATTTCATCCAAGTAATAAATCTTCCTGCCCTGGTCGCGGTACTTCTTTATTGATTTTAAATAATTTCTTCTACATAAAATAATCTCTTGGCGGTCCATCAAAATACTATCTCTGTCAAGACTTCTATACTCGAAGCTCTTTGAGTGAACTAAGTATACAAAGTAGTCTTTTTGAAAGTAAGTAAGTCTTCATCACTATTAACCTCCTCTAATACTTTATCCATTGGTGGAAGTTCCTGCAGTTTAAAAAATTGTTGGACTTTGCGGCTGATGGCATTCCGATCAAAGTTATCAACTGTATCCAACAGCTTCGTGTAAAGCAGCCTCTTGTGTGGTGGAGACATTTTTTATTTTTTTTATAATCTTCAACAATACTGAAAATTATCTTAGGACATAAGCCTGTGCCGCGCTGCATGTTTGTTGTGCGTAAATGGACTACGAATAGGGTATAATACTGCACCTACTAATGATTGCTTTTTGGGATGTTATTAGGTTATTATATTTGTACTGTGACCAGCTGACTGATAGCAAAACAAGCACTTTATGCTATTTGACTGGTTGGTTTTATTTTTTGCTTGCTTGCAACTGATGAAACCTAGATTTCAGTTTTACAGTCTAGTTTATTTTGTTTGCCACTTGAAACTGTAAACTAGCATTAGGCTATCCACATCGCGATTGGGCTAGGGCCTTTCAGTTTCCGCCGTCTCGCCTCGTAACTGGTTTTGAAGAAATTACGTTTCATCATGATAATAACCTCCAACGTTAGGAGGCACATACTTTTTAATGGGCTCGACTTATTTTCCATCTTTAGATAGTATAGTGTAAACGCTACAGTGAATATCCATCTGTATGCTGTATATTACAAGACATATCAGAAATTGGGTATCCAGATCCAACCCAGAGTTGAATAGAGAGCCATCTTTTTATTTCTTATTGTTACCTATATGATTACAGATTTTACTTACTTTATTTTGGTAGTGTCTTTTTGTCCATCTTAATCAAATTGTTGATGTAAGTAGAAACCTAGATTATACGTTTTTGCTGCCAATCACTACAGTGCAGCTTACGCGCTCTTATCATGTGAAAATTGCGACTCAGTTTAACAACAACTGTTGGTGTCAAACGCAAAAATTTCTACTACGGTTGTTCAGCAGTTACGACTAGATAACCGACTAACTACAGAGACTGCGCGTCCCTGAAGTTGGTTGCAGATTAGCTGGCCATTCGTACTGGTTCTTTCGCGCGGAAGATCCTGAGGCGTCTAAGAAAGGCATGTGAAATCATTGGGTAGACGTTGCTAGGTGCTACACCATATGAGAAAACTGGAAGGGATTTTAGGCTTTTTTCCACCTGGAGCGGCTGGTACTTACCATAGAAAGACCGCGCCACGTTAATGGGTCTCAAGTATACAAGTACAAGTAACTATTATGTCAACCGTCGTATTTTGTTCTGGTCAACAACGCGTTATTTAGAAATGTTCCTTCGTACACAAGCAAGATTTTAACGCAAAGATGTCACTTGCTGATCAGCTCTTCACTTCAGTAGGTGTAAAAACGAAATGGATGGAAAAATACTCTACTAAATCTTAGGGGTCTAAGGAGACTAAAAAAATATATGTAAAAGACAAACAAAAATTCGGATATATACGGTGAGGTTGAAATTTGGCTAGCGTGCAATAGGTACTAGTTAGAAAGAGTGTCCAGAAGGCTTGACCTCGTACTCGGCTTGCTAGGCAACGAGGTACACATTACGACGTCAGTGGTATTGGATGACCATTAAAACAAAACTATAAAGGAAAAAACACGTATGTTCTTTTATTGGTATCAAATATGTTACAAAGGCCTGATAATTGCGTTTCGATCTTTAAAATCGCATACTTTTTAGCTAATCATATTTTCTCCAAATCCAGCATTGTATCTTCAATTCTCGCCCATAGCTACAGAAAAATGTGCATAGGTATATTTTTCTGTCGTTTTTCTCCAACAAGCATGGGGTTTCAAAAACAGACCATTCCAAATGATACGTCAAATGATACACATATTTCACACTTTCTAGATAGCGAGAACTTAAAAATGACCATCACACAGAAAAGCTCGACAGTATTGTTATGTCGGCCTTTCCGCAATTAAATTCATACCTAAGTTATTTGTCTCGACCCGTTAGTATCACCATAGATCCATTTGTTTGTATGTACCCAGCAACCAGATAAACATAATAAGCTTCGGTGACTCCTTTTCTAATTACATACCTCACTCAGCATCATTCGCTTGGCTGGAAAACTTATTTACCGTCTCCTACATGCTTGGCAAAATTGTCAGCAGTGAGCCTCTCGCCGAGCGACTGCTTTAGTTGGTTCTGCCGGTCAACTCATCTACAGGTAAGGTAAATCGTCTGGAAATATAGTCGTGTATGGGCAATAACAATATTTTCCGCGGGAAAGAATATGTGTGTATGGCCAGCTATTCGCCAGCGACGCGGCGGTATTCAGTGTAATTGGCAAAGCAGTGCCAGAGATGTGTGTGGGTTCAAATCCCGCTGGTGCCAAATTTCTACCAGTGTGTCATGTTCTGATGGATGAAAAATCTTTAAGCAAGATTTGATTGAGTTCACTTATTAATTTTTCATTGATATGGGTTTAAGATTTACGTATTTAATTTTTTCTTGTATATTATGTGAGGTATATATTTTTCTGCTTGTATGAATGAGCCAGGGTGTTTGAAGAATCTCACGATTCCAATTTTCTCTATTTGTGGAGTCAAGCTGTAAGCCAGTGTTCCAAAAGTTGGGATTTTTCTTTTCCGAAATAACGACTCTTGTATTAGCAAAGCTAGTGTGCTTTCAATCAGTAGCGATAAAATAAAACAAAAATTTGAACAAAATACTCAATTTGATGAGAAATCTCCGATTCGAAAACATTTACCATAAACTTACATCATATCTTATAAAATCAAACGTCAAAAAAAAAAAATTCAAAATTTACGTTGTAGATTCATTAACAACTTAAGAAAATATGATCATATCAGCTCATATTTCGAATAGCTGAATTGGTTGAATATTGCAAAATTGTACAATGTCTAAGTAAATATAAAAATTACCCCCTAAGGTATTAGAATCTGAATCAATCGAAATTAAAGCATGCTGAGTCAAAGGGCCTTAGCCTGATTTCGATGGATGTCGGCTCTGAGAACCCCTAACATCACAAACGTGTTTTTTTTTCGAAAATAGTTTTTTACGGTTGCAACTTTGCGCTAAAAAAAAATGAAAAAAAAAACTGCTGTTGCTACATTGGTATATCCTATATAACTTTATTTTTTATAGATTTTTAGAACTTGCAGGGTCGAGAAAATATTTTTTTAATTTTATTTTCAATTTTTTTGATAGATAATGAGGATTTTGCAAACAAAAAATCCACTGTGTATCAGTGCTTTCTCTGGTTATTTTCGGATCCACTAACAACATGATTAAAATATCAAAAAATCGGAAACCGCACTTTCCAATGTTAGACTTTTTCAGAATTAAATATAATAGCTTTGCTAACTCAAAAACTCAACATATAGATTTTTTTCTATTCTTCCAGGTTCCAGAATCAAAACTTTCATTTGTTTCCTGAAAAATTGTAAAAATAGGAAAAACCGCATTTACGATGTTTTTCTTTGATTTTTGATGCTTTTGCTCAGGAAATAGCTGGATAACACAATAACCCACTATATGGATGCATTACCTAGGTTTTTTTTTTTCAATTTTCAATTGTGAATCGTGGTCCGGAAAATAATGAAAAAGGAAAAACCGTGTTTTCCCTGATTACGCTTCAATTTTTGACATACTTGGTCAGCAAAAGAATGCTTGGCTAAATCAAAAAAGTACACATATGCGTGGATTGAATTGTTGTGTTAGCGAAGTTATAATCTCCTGAAAGTGGGAGGTTTTTCGATTTCTGGCGATTTTTTGGTCAAAAATTCAATATTCTGTTAGTGGAAAAGAACGCTAAAGAGCACTGATATTCAGTGGATTTTTCAGTTTGCGAAATTTTCGTTACCTAACCAAAAATTCGAAAAACATTTAAAAAAAATCACCCACAAACCTATAAAAAATGTAACAATCCAGCATCAGTAATCTTTTCAAAATTTTTTGAGCAAAATTACACCCGTGAAAAAATATTTCCGAAAAACACGTTTCTGATGATATATATAGCCAACCTATCAATCTGAAAAATTGTATCAGATGATTTGACCATCATTTTGCTTTCTCGAAACTCTACAGCTGTTGTTTGTTTTTTTCTAGAATGCGCAGTTTCCGAAATATTCAGGTGGGGAGATTAAAATCTGACACTGTGTATAATAAAAAAATTTCTCAATTTGGATCACTTCTTGGATTCATGTTGGTCAGTAGTTACTTATAATTTATATTATTATATATTATATATTATATTTTAATTAATGTTTTTATAATTTGAAAATATCTTACTAAAGCTTTTTGAGGTTCACCAGTTCCGGCAACATCGCTGAATAAGAAAAAAATGTTATCCTTAAATAACAGAGCTTCTTATTTCCATAACGGAGAACGAAGGACCGTCTTGCTACTAGTAAGACTCAGAATAACGAAAATCATGTCCAAGGAACAAAATAACTTTGCTAAAAAGTTCTAATAATTCCGTGGAAAGCAAGCAGTTTTTTGTCTGAACCTAGTATCTTGGTTATCCTAGGTCTTTTGTGTATGAATACGCTCTGTTAAGGAAAGTGCCAACTTTGAGGACATTGTATACGTATAATAAATCACCAATAAATTATATATAAAAATACATTTGCAAAAATATATACTATATTTTTACTGCTGTGATACATGTATGGTTGCTTTCGAAATATTTAACATGCGTAGAGGTATACTGGATTTCGATAATGACGAAAAATGAGTAATTTGAAAAAATTGTAGGACAAAAATATGCTAGATTTTTAGTGATTATTTCATCTCTTGGCTTGCGGATCAATCAATTTTGCATGCTTTTTGAAATACGAGTAGAGTTCTATTCATTTCACGGTGGTAGAAAATGTATGCAGTACTACTACACTATATTTGTATAACTCCCCAGTTTTGCATTTGAGATTACACAAAATGTTATTTTGAATTGCAAATGCTTTTTTTGGAAGGTCCAGTATACAAGCGTTATGCAGGGTATAAAAACGAGGTAGTTTTTGGTTTCATGTAGTTACTACGTAATTTATTATAAAAGATATGGAAGGTTATAGCCAATACAATTGGAAGTCAAATTGCAAGTATTTATCTAGTTTATCATTTCTGTTAATCGTTAATTCAAAAATGTCTTCAATAATACTTTTGTAACTTACATGTAAAATCAATAACATCAGTAGTAATCACTTTAAGATGTTTTCTTCTTCAAAGACATCCATTAAATTTAAAAGTAATGTAGTTACTTATCTTTAAGGGTACACATAAGATTTTGGTAATTCTAGCACACTTTAGCTTGGAAAAAATCAAATTATGTATAATTCGAAGATATATTTTATGAAGAAGACCTGTGCATGTTGAAGATTATGTTAATACTGAAATAGTAATTCATATCTGTTCTCAGTTGAGTTGAGCTTTATCTCGTATACCTGTTTTAGTATACAATATGGCCAAACCGCTTTTTTTAATCTCTTAATACGTACTGGCTAGTGATTATGTTAACACTGAACGAAATAGGATATGCTTTATTTTTAGGAAATCTCAGAATTCTGTATGTGCATACAGCAAACCTTAGGAACGCAGGTTTACTTTTTCCTTTGGTGTACCATAGTGAATTCTGAGGAAACCTAATGCATCCATTAAACAGTAACATACAATATATCGAAGTATTGCAGAAAAATATTTTTGAAAAAATTATTGTCTCTTTCTTTTAGAGCTGCCTAGCAATAGCATCGTTTTATAATACCTTTTTACTTTAGCACTTAAGAAATAATTTCTTTATACACGCCACATTTTTGGAAGTCAATACTTTTAACTAAGACCACTCTAGTGTATATTTTTGTTAAAACTTCTATTTATACAGTCCTAATTTTTGTAAATAAACCATGTACAGTTACATATGCTATGAATACATTATAAATGTTAAGTGTATATGTTATTTGTTTTTCATTCAATAAATTTAATGTGTATTCTATATAGCACTTATCTGTATAGATGTTGGTGGTATAGAATACAATAAAACGTATCCTATGTTGAAGTACTGTTTTATTTCAATTAAATATAAGGTCTTTGTAATTTGACAATAGGTAGTAGTTGCTAACTCTACAATTTGTCAGAGTTCTAACCACCGTCATCCGATCTGCACGCTCGAAATTGGCTTTGGTTACTTCATAGTATCTTCCATCACTAAAAAAGTAAAACAAATCATTTAAAAGATGTTTGGAGTTATTTTCATTTTATTAACAATTTTATGAATATATCTTGCATAATATGCAGGGTGTTTCTTAATCGAATGTCAGTATTTGATGGTGCGATTTTTGGACTCACCTTAAGAAGAAAACGTTTTAACTTTGAAGACACAGAGTTTTCTTAAAATAAAAAACTATTCATTTATGAGCAGATTTGATCTCCTGAATTTTTTCCAGTGCGACGCACGGTTTCCACCTAAATAAATGCATAGTGACACTTTCATATTAAGAATATTGTTAAGCCTATACAGAAAAACGGTTTTTATTTTGTATGCGGAAACAAGAGGTACATCGGCTTGAAAAAAACAGACGATCAAGTTTGCTTAGAACTGATAGCGGATTCCAAGAATAACTTTTAAGAGTAATCAGTGACGTACCCTCAATGTGTGCCAAAATAGGGAGATGAAATAACGTAAAAATGCCACTGGTAGAAACTAAAAAAATGTACTTCATCAAAAATGTCAATTTTCATTAAAATATATTTATATATATATATATATATATATATATATATATATATATATATAGGTGAAAAATTAAAGCTTCCGCCTTTTGTTGGGTACTTCGACAAAATTTAAGCAAAGAGGACTCTTTATACTTTTTTTAATTCTCTCTAGCTTTCAATGGACTTTGCCATCATCATCAGGAGAGTAGTATGTGAGGATGTTGCTAATTGTTGTTTACGTATAGGATGAGGGAAACGTCCAGTAACATGGTGAGAGCTGGATAGATGGTACAATGGTCAAAATTATATAAAATATGACAAGAACAAGTTAAAAACAGATTAAAAATTATTTAAAAAACATGACAATGACCACGTCTCAAGTTATATATATATATATATATATATATATATATATTATTCATAGTTAATTTCCTTAACTGTTAGGAGAAGATATCCTCTAATTTCTTTGGGTGGAAGGCAAAGTATTGCAAAAGTACACTCTTATAACTTAAACTCTCAAGCTTTCGAAGATCTATGTCTTCATCGTCTGGAGCTGGAAACAATTATTGACAATAGCAACAAATAACAATTAGGAGAAAAATATTTACTTACTAAGTCGGCGAGATTGTTGCTGAAATTGTTTTTAAAACAACAGTGAAGGGAACACGTAGTCGACGAACAATGTGGAGGTTATCAGTGGAAAAGAAGATGAAATCTCGAGGGAATTTTTAATAGTTGATAGTTTTAAAATCTCCAAATTTCTTCCAAAATCAATCAACGCTTAGTTATAAAAAAAATCTTTCAAAATGATTTGCCATTTAATAATAAAATAATTCCGTCCTAATCGAACCTCATCAGTCCAGTTTTTTATTCGTCGACTATGTGTTCCCTTCACTGTTGTATTAAAAACAATTTCAGCAACAATCTCGCCGACTTAGTAAGTAAATATTTTTCGCCTAATTGTTATTTGTTGCTATTGTCAATAATTGTTTCCAGCTCCAGATGATGAAGACATAGATCTTCGAAAGCTTGAGAGTTTAAGTTATAAGAGTGTACTTTTGCAATACTTTGCCTTCTACCCAAAGAAATTAAAGGATATATATATATATAGTGGTATTTACAGATAATAAGTGAATAATTTTTGAAAACTTTACCACACTATATCTCAAAAGTTTTGATGTTTAGCACATACGTTCATATGAAGTTTTCTTCGTAAAATGTATCGAAAAATCGTTCCCTCAAATATCGACATTTAATTGTAACCATTATTTTAGAAAATAAACTGATACCATATGCTTGTTCTTACCTTAAACACAGACATTTCAATTTAAGACACTTTACTCTGATAGTATCAATGGCTTTCTGACTCTTATCCGAGAACCTTAAATTGTCAGGATCCCATCGCAGCTCAAGGCGTTCCACATTTGGACAGTTTTTGGCGATACTGTCCATCAACTGATCAACTAGAATGTTGACTCCCAAACGTTCTTGTGTTCCCAGGATCAGAATTCTGCGACAAATAAAAAATGCATACATCGGGTCTTTTTTGAAGCAAGAATCTATAGATTAAGCATGTGGTGTAAGTATAATCAATCGATGACGTTCATTATTAGAGTTAATTCCAAAAATTATAGGCAACTTGGAAAATGTGCTGCTCTCTAGTGGATGATTCTTAATTAACTACGTGGCGACACAAACATGCAGTTTTATATTTTAGTATATTCTGAAAGCCCTCCACCATGTGCGCCCGTCGAAATTTTATGAGGGGGGCTGATCATCAACAAGAGATAACTTTTTGTGAAAGTGTACCTGCCCCTCTTCAAAGCGGGGGTGCATATTTCTCTCGGGGTTCACTTTTGCAGATAGAGTAGCAAGTCTTTCGTTGAAAGTAATGGTATGAACCCATACTTCCCGTCAATTGCATGTTTTCTTGATTTTGTTGATTTGATTTGATGATATACTCGATATAAAATTTGGAGGGATTAAATTACTGAACCTTTGAGTTATTTGCAGTTTTTCAGAAATTACAAATCAAAGTAATTGAATATCACATGACTCGTGGAAAGGAAGGATTTTTAGTGGATGGAGTGAAAAATTGCTTTTCATCCACTAAAAATTCTATACCACTTGAAACAAATGATAGAACATAGATCTGTAGCACAACTTTTATTGATGGAGTACCTACTTGGCATTATTCAAAATTGGCAACACCGTCTGCCACAGGGAATCCGTAATGTGGGTCATCCCAGATAGACCCAAACCCCAAAGTTGATGTCCATGTTTACACAGAAACTTGTAGATCGCTTCCTCTGAGAGGTTGTCGGAACTATCAAGATCTAGAGCCACCTGAAATATACAAAATCTTGAACCATGAAGATTGCCAATTTGTAGATATATTTGATTAATCAGATTCTGTTATGAAATGATATCAATCACTGTGATGTTTTAAGATCCAGAAAATCGTTGAAATCTGTTGAACTTAACATTTCCTCTGTTATTCTACAACTATATCAAATAAGGTCACTTTGTTATTCCAGGTACTCACCAAATTCCTTGGGTTGCCAGATTCCATCCATGCCTTCAGCACCGAATCGTTAAAACCATTAATTTGACCTGCACTTAAAAACCTCAATCCTGGAAGCCTTGACAGCATGTCCACCAAGCATTCTGTAGATAAGTCCGTGGCGGTCACATCCAGTTCTTGGAGGGAACACTTTTCCCATTCTACTTGCAACAAATATTCACTCTGTAAGCCTGAAACAAATAATGATGTAAGGTCATTTGACGATGTCGATCAAAAGAAAAACTGAAAGATCAGTTAACCCTTTGCGGCCAGACATATTTTTATTCTGAAGTTGTTCATTTCGTATTATAGATATATTGAAGTGCTAGTGAATATTAAGTGAACCTTTCAATGCCATACAGTATGTTCATCACCAGTATTGCACAGCCAGTCATCCTAATATAAATGACAGAACTGAATTGATGAACAGATTCGACCTCCTTACGGCGTCCCAACTGTGTAAGACTCGTTACAATATTCTCTAGATGTATGGTTATTTTATTGCGATCATTTCATTGCTGAGAAAAAGCCTAAATCATAGGCAACCAGTATAACTAGTGGTGGTAACGTCAAAATTCCATCAGGAGCTATGTAAATTGACTATGAATTGGTGGTCATCCTAGAAGGCCTGTTGTGTGATCAGAGATGTTACAGTGGAGGGAAACAAAAAGTAAGAATGATATATTATCCACATAATTACATTCACAATGCGGTTTGTTTCCGTTTTCGCTCGTGTTGAAAAAAGACGTAAGTATTTCAAATCCTTTCATCGAAAGAAAACTCATTTAAATCCTATATCTCCATCCGAAAGAATCGGCCAAAAGGACTTGATTTTTATTGCGGATACCGATTGAAACATGTCACGTCAAACTGTCAATGTCAGATAATAAAAGTTATTGGCATAGCATTGCAGAAGTATGGTGACACTCCAAGGATAGAACGTGGAAAGTTTTATCGCGTTACCCTAGAGCATTGATGGTGGTCTATATCGACCCCTAGGGGTCTATGACAACCTGCAAGAGGTCTACGTCATCGACAAAAAATTTGGGGGTCCATGAAATGAATATGGGGGTCCACGATAGTGGATCTCAGCACATACACTGATAGTACCTATTTACTTACATCATACTATCTTATAATATCAAAACATATGCATTATTTATAAAAGTACCTATGAAGTAAAAAATGTATTATATATGTTTATAAAATTGTGTAAGTTGTAGGATGTCGGTATTCGCTTTGTGGTCGCCATACATTTTGAACTTGTAAAAACCTGAGAGTCGCAGTCTCAGAGCTTCGCTACCTTGCACTGACTTGTTCAATTCGTCACTCTATAAATACGAATGTGGGACAAATACGTTTATACGTTTCCTGAATCTTGAAAAGGAAAGTGCTAAGAAAATATTTTAAAAAATATAAACAGATAGTATATCACACAAATTATAGTGAGTCAGTGTTATTTTGTTTGAGAGTGCTGGAGAAAAGTAAGTACATTATCTTTTATTAAATTTTAGTTTTGTACTCGTAATTAGCAAAAATAGATAAATTACGCCAATCATGACTTTAGTTATTAGTAGTTAAATATTCAATCATGCAAAATTACACGAGTACTCCTCAATAGTTTCTTTTTGAAAGTTTTAGCAATCGGTAATATAATTACAGTGCAATCTCTGTAATTCGAGCTAATTGTTGCAAGATGTTCGAATTATGGAATGTTTTCGGAAAAATCAAAAAATATTTTTAATATACAGCTGCTGGATTTTCTGTCTTATTTAAATAATTTAGTTTTGCCCACAGATTACTGATGCCATGTCCGAATCTAAAAAGAAATGTAGACAGTACAGTGTTGATTATTTGAAATTTGGCTTCATTCCATCATTGCCGGACAAACAATCGCCTATGTGCCTTTTATGCAACAAAGTTTTTTGCAATGACGCTATGAAACCAGCTAAACTGCAAGATCATCTGAGAAGATGCCACCCTGATAAAACAGAGAAAGATTTGAAATACTTTCAAACACTCAAAGATAAATTTCAGAAGAGACCTACACTGGACAGAATGTTCGCTTCGACGTCACAAAGAAACGATGATGGTTTGCGGGCGTCTTCCAATATCTCGTTACTTATAGCAAAATCCGGCAAACCGCATACTATCGGAGAGAAGTTAATTTTGCCAGCCGTTGAAGAGGTTTTAAAAACGGTTTTACACAAACCTGCATCTGATATCATTAAAAGAATTCCCTTAAGCAACAACACTGTTGAAAGACGTATTGATGAAATGGGTTCGGATATAGAAAGCTTCTTATGTAATTATTTGCAAACGACCCATTTCTCTATACAACTGGACGAGTCAACTTTACCTGATAATGCAGCATTATTATTGGCATATGTTCGTTTTATTATGAATCAAGAAATCTACGAAGAACTGCTCTTCGCAAGAACTTTGAAAACCGACACTAAAGGTGAATCAATATTTCATGTTTTGAAGGATTACTTCATTGAAAAAGCAATTCCTTTATCAAATATACGTATAATATCGGTAGCTACAGATGGAGCACCTGCCATGGTTGGACGTTATCGTGGATTTATAAGCTATTTAAAACAAAATGTGTCAGGGGTGTTAGCAATACATTGCGTCATCCATCGACAACATTTAGTTGCTAAAAATTTGAGTGTTAGATTGCATGAATCACTTCATTTAGTCATTGATGCAGTAAACCGAATCCGAAACAACGTGTTGAATACGCGGTTATTTGCGCAGTTGTGTGAAGAAAATGACGAACACTTTCATCAATTACTCCTTCACACTGAAGTACGCTGGCTGTCGAAAGGCTTATGTTTGACAAGATTTTTTGCACTTTTTGAGACTATTTTAGAATTTCTGGATACTAAAGATAAAATTTTAAAAGAAAATTTAATGAAGAGGAAAACAGACATCGCCTATTTAACAGATTTGTTTACAAAATTTAATATGGTTAATTTGCAATTACAAGGCGACAGTTTAAATTTGATTAAAACAAAGTCCATCTTATCAGCGTTTCTTGCCTAAGTTAAACTAATGAAGCAAAATATTGGACGGGGCGAATTTTCTGAGTTCCCCAATTTGTCACAGACAAGCTGCCAGGAAGACGACGTTTCAACTTCTTCTGGTTGCAAAACAACATACCCGTTACTTATCCCGTATTATGGAATATGGCGAGGAAATTTTTAATCTCCTTTCCATCGTCATACCTAGTGGAAAAATATTGACTTATTGCTTATGTCATTTTATTTATAGTTTATTTTATGTTTTTTGGTGTCTGACCAATAAATTCCCGCATTGGGAATAAGTGCCCGCATTGATTTTTTTAAAGAACCCTCCTTTATAGAAAATATTTTTTTTAAATTATTCTGAAAATTACAGGATAGGTACACACTAAAATTCGTTGATTTTTTACCTATTTTTAGATAACTTAAGCGTATAAGAAGCCGAATTTAATAAAACTAACAGTGAAATTATTGTAGAACATACGTTTATGTTATAATTAATAAACGAACTCGCTTATTGTGCTATTTTAAGTAAAAAATTTTTTTTTATTATTTTTCACTTTTTTTTATTTTATCCCTCTTATTTTTTTTTTCAATGCGGGCACTTATTCCCAATGCGGGCACTTATTGGTCAGACACCTGTTTATTTAATGTTACGTATATTTTACATAACAGATACAAAATTTTATTTTGAGTAGTTTTAATTTAAATTCAATTAATAAATGTATAAATCAACATGTGTTTTTACATTAAGTTTTTAACACTAAACTTCACTACAGTTAGAAATTTACAGGAAATCAATATCAGGTAAGTAGGGGGTCTACCCAACACGGAAAAACATGGCAAGGGGTCTACGACACAAAAAAGTTTGGGGAACTCTGCCCTAGAGCTTGAAGTCACGGCGCAAAATTTCACGTCCGAAATTACAAACGGTACATGTACCATTGAAATAAAACTTTCTGAATATAGTCCGTTGTCAAGCTGCCAGGAAAAACTAATACATATGAAGACCGAATAATGTGTCACCTATGAATGAATATTTGTTTTGAGCTGAAAAAACAATCAATAAAAAGTAGCCCTAACTTAACTTACTTGTGCCATTCATCAACAAACATTTTAGTCTTCTGCTTCTCTGTAATAATGTTTTCATTGTGGATCCTACAACTTTAGAACAATAGTTCACTGCCAGGCATTCTAGCTGTAAAAAATTAATGATGTAGTTGCTTTTGCACATAGGGACAAGCTGGATTTGTCAAACATTTTCGGTTAAGTATGAATGGCCTATGGCTAGACTTCGCCGAGAAAAATAAACGCATTATTTTTTTATGACAGTTACTTCTTTTCGACCTGACATTCAAATACCTTTTCATATCACGCGATGCAACACACCATGACGAAGTACAATACTTTTCACTACCGCGGTGAATTACATCGCGGATGAGAAGGCTTAGCAGAGTTACATTTTCTTTTGTTTAGATTAAAGCACACCCATGACCCAAAAACTCCTATCTTTTAACGTACCTGGATGCAATTGGAACTAAAAGCGTCAATATGGCTGTCGTCAACGAAGTTGATGCCATATAAATTGATTACCCTCAAGTTGGGAGTAGCTGACTTTAGTTTATGTACATTGACAACTTCGTATACCTCTTCCTCTTCTTCCTCCACTTTCTCGTATGTACCAATGAGATGGAGGATTTCCAAGCCGTTGATGAAATTGTAAATTTTCCGCATGAAACCCTCCATAAAGATTACTTCTGAGAGGCATATGCAGAGGTACTTCAGCTTTGTCGGGAAGGCCTAGAAATGTTAAATATTCGGTTACTACGTAAAGCTCACCACCCTCGATTGGTTTGCAATCAGTTCACAAGGACTTATTCATTACAAATGTATCTGCCAACATCACAAAATTCTATAGAAACTTTATCGGGGTATAATTTGAGGTAGAAAAAAAACTTGAAATCGCTGAGGGTCCTAGTGTTAGCGTTAGATTCCGAATATGCGTAACTGATTGATCTAGGGAACACGTTTTCGTCTAGATTACAATTTCACAGGAAAAATATTTTCATAGGAAAAAATCAAAATATTATAAGGGTTTGCAGGGCAACATTTCCATTTTCATTGTAAAAAAACAATGAATTGAAGAGGACGCTAATTTGCAGTACAGTGGATCCCCGATAATACGGCCCCTGTCTAATCCGGCGCCCCCTGTAATCCGACATGTCTTTTTATATTACATACATACGTATTTGACAATCTTCGCTAATGTAGATCACGCAGGTTTGCACAGGTTACAACTTGTACGCGCCACCGCTATCGTGTTCGACGCGTAAGTATTATTATTATTAGTACTTGTGATAGCGGTACGGCCTTGCGTGCGTTCATCGTTTACTATGTATTCATTGTGTATTAAGTATCGTACCTAGTAATGTCATCACAAACTCAGAAGCGAAAGCACAAAACATTGACAATTAGAGAAAAATGTGATATTTTAGACCGCTTAAATCGCAATAAACTTTCAGTAGTTTAGCAAGTGAATACGGCGTAGGCCGATCTACAATTTATGACAATAAAAGAAACCACGAAAAGATCAAGAAGATCGTGTCAACTGCTGACTGCTGGCCAGGCAAGAGACAGACACTCAAGAAAGCTGAACATCCAGAAGTGGAAGAAGCTGTCTACATGTGGTTTCTTCAGGAAAGAAATAGGCATGCAGGACCCATGTTGGCCATGAAAGCTAAGTTTTTTATAAGGAAATAACAAAAAAACATGATTTTGTGGTCAGCAAAGGATGGCTAGAACGTTTTAGAAGTCGTCATGACATACGTTTAATGACTATTACAGGAGAGAAACTTTCTAACGATGCCACCTGAATAGAGCCCTTTAAATTAAGATTTTTGCAAAAGGTGATTTAAATCTTCACAGGTGTACAATGCAGACGAATCAGGGCTTTTTTGGCGTGTGATGCCTAACAAAACTTTCGTTTCTTGTAACGAAAAATTGCACTGCACTGATTCAACCAATGGACCAGAATATCATTCAGTTTGTCAAGCAAGAGTATAGAAAAACCTACTTATGAGAGCCGTATCAAAAGACCAACCAATAGAAAAAACTTCAAAAGAATTTAATATGAAAGACTTGGTTTTTGCTCTTTGTCAGTCGTGGAATGCGTTACCGTCATCAACTATTAAATCGTCTTGGAAAAGTTATGTATGGCCAGATATAGTCACCACTCCTAGCAACGTTCCACAAATCAGTGTAACTTCGGAAGTTATAAAACAAGTCGCTACTGAAACACAGATAAGTCCGGAAGATTTGGAAATCTGGTGACGTGGAATGGATAAAGAGGAAAATGTTTTTCATGAAATGTCTGACGAAGATATTATAAAAGAGGTTTCTAATTATACAACAAACAATCAGGAAAATAACGACGACGTGATTGCAACTGCTCCACAATTCACAGCACAAGACGCAATTAACGCCTTTGAGCTAGGTTTACAATGGGCTGAAGAGAATGGTATATCCTACTACGAACTTTTACTTTTGAGAAGACTGAGGGACAAAGCTCTAATCTCGTTTTATAACAACCTTAAACAAAAAAAAATTGATGAATACTTCCAAGCTTCATAATTTGATAACTACATTAATGATTTTGATTAATAATTCTTGATTATTTTGGTACATATGTATGTGCATTTATGCTTAATTTTATAACAAAACGTAAGCTCTCTATTGTTATTTAATTTACTAAATTCGACATACATAAACTATGTATGATTTGTACTTCAAAGTACATACATATCCATAACATATATAATCTTACCATTGGATATGTAATTTGTCGGATTACAAGGTACTCTTTTGTAGAAAATTCCGGACTATAGGGGGTCTTAGTCAGTGCTCTATAATCCGACAAATTCGATAGTACGTCACTGCCCTGCATAATGTTTGTCGGATTACCGGAGGTCCTCTGTATTACGAGCTGATAAAACTTGGTACAATATGATAATCTGTGGCGTTGAATTCTAATAAGGCCGTCAAAAAGTGAGTGCCAAACATTTCGACCTTAAACCCACGCAAAGCCAAAGCTTTTAAAATCGGAAGAAAAACCTGAAAATTATTGGTACCTACCTGCAACTCGCTAAAGTCATGCAACTGCATAGCTGTGGAGAAGTCAAGGAGCATGTGTGTTAGATTTGGACATTTGTTTGCAAGTTCGTGAAGAACAGTATGGGTAATCAACTCGATAGGCAGTTCGATGTACCTCAAAGAAGGTCCAAACCTGAATAACATCAATTTATTATACAACAAATTCATTAACAATCACAATAATGTAACTTGTGGTATGCACATGTAATTATGTAATCATGTGGTTTTTCAGGTCATAGGACTCCATTGTCATATATTTTAATTTCTGTTTACAGTAGGACGCTTCGGTCACCACGATCGCCCGGGTTCAAGTACAATGACAATTAATGACAGCATATTTTTGTTCATGTTTCTTCCAGGTGACAGTTCAATAATACAATCTTAAGATGACACCTCGTAAAAGTAGAAAAGCCCAGGATCTTAAGACCAAGCTGTTTCGTCTAACATTGTTTCCTCACAAGACAAACAACATGGTTCCCTTTAGATGTCGAAATACTATTATTCGCAATTTCAAAGTTTGCTTAACAGTGTCTTTCGCGTTCTCGGGGGGCATTCAGTGCTTTCGCGGTCAGAGACAGAGGGCACATGTATGGTACATTAAAAACGACAGATAACCTCATGCTCGCTTGTCGCTTTGGAGAGCTAGATGTGCTTTGGGAACGAAAATGCCTACCCCAGCGATTTTTGCCTTTTGTGGTTTTACCTGCTACCTTGAAATTGTAATGATGACTTGGTGCGATCACAACGTGCTACACGACCGTTCAATATATTGATTCAATACACTGTAAAGGAATAAAGAAGATAGATAAACAAAAATATAACTACATTGTTATTGTACTTGCAAGAGGCCACTGTGGTGGCCGAAACTTCGTACAATAAAGAGAAATTAAAACATATATCTGATATGTTCTTCAATGGAATAACGGGATTATGTATGTGTACTTACGCAGTAACTGTTACTTACCTCACGCTGATAAGAGCCAGCAGCGACTCCAAAGAACCAACATGTAACCCAGAGATTTCAGGCCTTAGTGAGACATTCTTCCAGAGCCTGGTATCGTATGCAATGATCCGCCATCTTTTGCAAACCCTTGCCATGCGACATATCTCTTTGTGACTCAGATAGCTGAAGATGTGAAGCAGGACCTTATCTGGCAGCTTTTCGATTGTCTGAAAAACATTGCGACTTATAACAAATCGTTATATTTCCTCGTAGAATCTAAACATACCAACACTTGATACATACCCCCATTTCTACCACAGCCGCTTAAATGAGCGGTTGTGGTAGATAACGGTACGTATTACTGCAAATAAACAGTATACAAATTATATAATTTATATTACATGTATTAACTTTAGAAGTTAAATGGGCAGAAGCGATAAGGTGATACGCTCGTTTTCAATGCAAGAGTTTATAACTTGTCTTTTGACCGGTAAGGGTATGTATAGTGTTAAGCTCATCCAGAGAAATACTGGGTGCGCCATCTATTACTTTTTTTTACCTATAAGTTTATGTGTTACCATGTGAGTCAAAAGTCATGTGGTATGCATAAATGAACTGTCAAAGGCATGCCATTTATAGTCATGGATTCGTTTACAACACAACAACGAATTTTGGTTATCCAAACTTATTACGAAAACAGCCGAAATATAAAAAATACTTTTCGCAAACTCCGCACTAGTTTTGGCCGACATGGACGCCCTACAGAGCCTGGAATTTGTTGGATTGTTAATCATTTTGAGGAAACTGGTTCAGCTGAAGGTCGTAGACCATACCAACATGCTCGCAGTGAGTGAAACTGTGCGAGAATATCCAACCACTTCGACTAGGCACCGTTCGCAACAATTGGGAATTAGTGAGACCACTTTACGTCGGATTTTACACATTGATTTACACCTCCATCCATACAAAATCCCACTAACACAAGAATTGAAGCCGGCAGACCATCAACAGCGGCGTGTTTTTGTTAATTGGATGCTGGAAAGAGAAGACGGATTTTCGGCCAAAATGCTCTTTTCTGATGAGGCTCATTTTCAGCTCAATGGGTACGTAAATAAGCAAAATTTCAGATTCTGGGGGGCTGAAAATCCACACCAATATCATGAACAACCTCTTCATCCTGAGAAAGTGACTGTTTGGTGCGGATTATGGGCTGGTGGCATCGTTGGACCATTCTTCTTTGAAGATGCCGAAGAAAAGGCTATTACCGTCAACGGGGAACGTTATCGCGGCATATTAACAGAGTTTTTGTGGCCACAATTGGATCGTATTGTTGCCGACGATCTTTGGTTTCATCAAAACGGAGCAACGGCTCTCACATCTCGCCAAACGCGCACACGAAATTTCAAGACCGCATAATTTCACTAAATTCAGATGTCAGTTGGCCCCCGAGATCGTGCTATTTAACACCTCTTGACTATTTTCTTTGGGGATTTTTGAAAGAAAAAGTGTATGCGAATGGTCCCCGGACAATTCAAGACCTAAAGCGCAATATTTGGACTGAAATTGCGGCCATAGACCAGATTATTCTGGGAAAAGTCATTGAAAATTTTGATGTTCGGATGTTGGCCTGTAAACGAAGCCGCGGTGGTCACATGACTGATGTTATTTTTCATACATAAATGGCATAAACCAACCTTCATTTATCAATAAAGAAAAATCGATTGCACCTCGTAAAAAGCGTGTTGATTTTTCAAATAGAAAAAAAGTAATAGATGACGCACCTGTAGCTACGTAATCATTTATTTTCCTCCAAATCTAATCTGACTCAAACTCAAATCATAAAGAATAGATTAGTCAAGATTTTAAAACTTCATTAATGTCTTTTTCACATTTTCTTAGCCCTGAACAAAGTGACAAATAAACACTACAACGTTGGCGACTTAAAAAGGATACTTTTAACACATAGATATCCCAAAAATTCGACAAATCGAAATTTCTTTTAGCTACGGTCACCTTGTAAATCATTTTTGAGGAGCGTTCTGAGCATGAAAAATTGAAAAGTCAGTATAACAGACCGTTGAATAACTTGACAATACAGGGACTTGATCCTCCATGGAGCTGCGAGGACACCGAGCTGGCACAAACTGAAGTGCAAGGGCAAGAATTAACGGCCGCAGTATAGTAATCAATGATTTGCTGGAATCTTGGAAGGTTTCCATTTAAAGGTAGATTATATCTAACGTGATATAGGAACATATCATTAGAGACACAGCGTGTGGTTAGATTAGAGCATTCAATGGGTGTACAGTTTTAATCATCGGGTGTATCTAAGAAAATATCCTAAAGCTTAAGGAGGGTTCTACTTATTGTAGGGCGTTGTAGAGAAACTGCATCTTAACAATTGGAAATATAATAGAAAAAAAATGGACGAGTACCTACTTAGATAAAAAGTTTGTGCTCAATCCCTCAACATCTTCAAGATTCTACGTATTTGATATCATGTAGCCTCTGAGCGACATACAACACAGAATATACGTCGAGGATCCGATTTAACCGCAGACCAGAAAGTTGCTAATGTGCTCAGGGTAATGTCGTAGCGCAATGTTAGTCCGTGTCTGTAGACGCTAGCCGAGCAGATTTAAAGAAACTTGGGTTGACGTGAAAGTACTCGCCAAAGTGCTTGCAGCCAATTCTACCATGAACCAAGTTAAATTTATATCAAGGGAAGCAAGATTCAAGACCTTCAACGTAGAGCGTCAGGTGAGTACACCAGTCGCTAAACCTCAGCAAACCTTTTGAAAATATAAAGTCTCATTTTGGAACTATTTTCCTCCCTTATAACTTTTTCTCTGTCATTCCAATACCTTGACAATTTTTTTTACTATAATCAGAAGGCTTATTTCTAAATGAGGGGCACTTTGATTCACACTGAAGAATACGATTCCGCTGTGAAATTCGTCTATACATTTTTCTGAAATTCTATAAATTCCGAAGAGGTGACACTGCCACTCATTAGTAGTTCACAAAACGCGATAGTTTCCGGGAATCTCTGGTTGATAGTCCGATTCGATGAAATAATTACAGCACTCTCCATGCCAAACATATCCGCCTGACATCCAACCGTGTCGAACTTCGTACGTCCAGAACTGGCCGGTACAACGGCTCCTTTGTTGCGGCACAATCTGTCTGAGAATGTTTTCCCAGTTATAGTAACCTTAGGCAGTTCAGAAGAAGGATTAATAAAGTGCATTTAAGCTCCTCATAGCAAAGAAAACCACCCACCGCATAGGCGTCTAGTCACTCAAGTATTAAGTATCCACCATGCTACCAGCTTCTACGTACCCTGCAAAAGCTGCATAAACTCAGGCTGAATAGGATCTGTAGGCCTCCCGTCTCTGTGATTATAACCAGCCGGATACAACATTGCTTCATGCTTTTAATCAATCATCAGTATGATATAGGACTATTCGAAGCACTAAAGGCCTAGTGGGCCCATGGCTTGGAAAGTGAGATTCTTCCATATCCCCCTATCGACTGCCTTGTTCTTCCATCTCTGCACCCCTATTGCTCGTAAGTCCTTTTCTACTTCCTGTTTCCATCTGTCGTTTGGTCTTCCTCTTCTTTTCTCTGTACCAGCAGTGTGCGTCAGAATCCTTTTTGGTATTCGTAAATTTGACATCCTTTCTATGTGGCCTAACCATCTTAGCCTCTGCGCCTTTATTACTCCTACTATACTAGGATACCCATATAGCTCCTTTATTTCGCTGTTTGTTCTTCTCATACAAACACTGTTAACTAGTTTGCCACCAAAAATTCTCCTTAAAATCCCCCTTTCCCAAACCTCAAGCATGCTTTGTTTCGTTTCTGGTCAGTGTCGCTCGCATATGTTACTACTGGTAAAATAACTGTTCTGTATATTCTAGTTTTAGCCTTTCTCGATATCACTTTACTTTTTAAAATTCTATTAAGTGAAGTGCATATGCTCAGTTCCCTGACATTCGTCTTCTTTGATATTTGGCTTGTGCCTACGCATCTTTCCGACTTCTCGAAAACGTAGGTATTTTCTTCTTCTGCTTCCATTTTCAAATTTTTCCCAATTTTGTTACTAACATCAGCCCATTCCATACTTTTTGTTTTATTTTCATTTACATAAAGCCGCAGTTTCCTAGCCGCTATATCTTGCCTCCTCACTGCATCTTGTAACTCCTGTTTGCCTCTCGTTACTACTATGTCATCTGCAAAAGCCAAACACCGGTGTTTTCTGTGGTACAGTAGCCACTCCGTGTTGATATTTGCTTCTTGCATCACCTTTGCTAAGCATAGGCTGAAAAGAATGGTTGACAGGAGATCCTCCTGTCTCACTCCTTATCTGAAATTCCAATATTTATTTTAACTCTGTCTGCGTCATTTGCACCATTCCTCATATGTTTAGGTTAATTCCTAACTCATATGTTCTGTACCTACTTTTGGGTTAGTTTTATTTATATACGCTTGCTTAAAGTCGATAAATACTACCAGAGTTGTTAGTCTGTGCTCACAACTATCAGCCTGTACGCCTGTTCCTTGAGTGTAAATATTTGGTCTGTGGTACTTGTCTAAAACCACATTGATACTCACCAACAATGTTTTCCAGTTCTGTTGTTAATTTGTCCTTTTTGTGCATTGCGAGAATTTTATAAGCTGTGTTTAGAAGTGATATCTCCCTATAATTATGACATTCTGTTTTGTCGCCTTTTTTATGAATGGGACATATAACTCGAAGTTACCAAAAGTTCCAGTTATACGAGAGTGCTACATCAAGTTTGCATAGTAAGTCAACGCTGATGGTAGCATGGTGAGTACTAAATACTCTCCTGGGTGCCGAGGCGCCTATGTGTTGGGTGACACTTGTCCGCTTAAGCGAAGCGGACTGGCAGTCAGAGATACCAGGAAAATGTAATTTACTGCTACAAACTAAGGGGCCGGTAGTACCACCGATGATATCTATCGTATTTGGTAAACCACTTAACGGTGACAGCGTCACAATTTCTGGCACTACAATACTATCTACAGTAGATCCATTTCCGGTGGTTTGTTTTCCGTTGGTTGTCTAAATGATTAGAACTGTGCCGTACTGATGTTTGCAAAAAGCATGAAACACTGTTTCGTATATTGAAATAGTAAAGCGCCTAATTCTTTAGTTCGGAATCAGTACCAAGTATGTAAAAGCTGAAGCATGTATCTGTGT